CCACCACCCCCCCCCCCCCCCCCCCCCCCCCCCGCAAAAAAAAGTCAAGAAAAATGCAAGAGGATAATTTCTCCTCTATGTTGGGAGACAAGAGCATATTTTTGTTACTATTCCAAGGCCATCTCCCATGCCCCTCACCTTGAGGTCAATACTGAGCAGCCAAGTGAATTTAGTCTTCGAGGGACTTCCAGCCAATGGGTGAAGCACCATACAGGTGGGACCGTGTTCAGCTCTGGGAAACAAAGAGCAGTCAAGACAGGAAGACAAGATAGGTGACACCAGTACATTGCTAGAGTCCCTTGTATTTTAAATTTCATGAGGGTGTACTTCACCAAAAGTACCATCTAACAGTTGGCATGGCTACCAGCTCATGAGAACATGCTGGTTGGAGCTGCAGGCCTCCTGCTATGCTCCTGGTTGTTAGAACACAGAGGAGCCTGCTCCTTGCTTTGGAAAATTAAGATTCTTAGAAGTTCCTAGGAGGGTCAGAACAGACCAACTGGCTGTTGAAGTGGGGATGCTCTGGCCATACTTCGTTGCTAAAGCTGAGAGTGGCTAAGAATTGGTTTCTTGGAAATGGAGATCCAGATTATGACTGCAGTTTTGAAACTGCTGCCAGTTTTACCTGATAACACCACTTTGTTCAGGCATCTCCCCAAAATGTGTGGCTATGCCTGCCAACACACAGGTGGAGCCTCTGCGCTTGGCACAGCGCACGCTCACAAAGTCACGGGGTCCCACCAGGTTTCCTGCTGCTGCTGCAGCCAGCTCATGGGTGATGACTGTGTCTTTCCCAATCTTTTGCAGGACCTAATACAAGGGAATCAGAGTCAGGACTCAGTGTTGTAAGCACCCATAGTTTGGGATGCCTTTGGCCTGACTCTTAGACTGCATTCTCTTGGGTCCCTGCCACCCACACCTGGGCTTTTCCTCACCTTGATCTCCTTGACATTTGGGTTCCACTCTCCCATTGCCTCCATGCGGTCCACAAGTTCTTCATAGAGTCTGTCCATGGGCTGGTCTACCACTACCTCCAACCGAAATACCTTGCCCACATCTGGGACTACTTTGCTTAGCACTTTATCCCCGTTTTCCTGTTAGGGACAAAAGAGAGCCACAAGGATAAGGGTAGAGAAAATCACCTGTAGTTTAGGTCTTAGACAGTACTAGGAAAAGGATCAGCAAGTCTAAGGTGAGTGAGCATTAGGGACCTGGCTCTATCTGATGATAGAGATAGGGATCTGGCTCTAGCTGCTGCCCCAAGCCTTGTATATCCACTCACCACTGTCTGTTCTTAGTGATGGATGTCGATAGCATGGAATGCTCCAACGGAAATGACACATACTTCAAAGCTCAACAAGTCTAAAGACAGACCTGGAGTGTAAAACGTTTGGTCTTCAACAAGCCAATCATATAGACAGAACATTGGGGTTGTTTGTTCGTCTTCAGAAGAATGTGGGGCCAGAAAGTTTCAATGATTTGCCCAGGAACCCTTAGCAAAAAGCAGTGCTGAGCCTGGATCCCAGATTTTTTGACTCCTAAACTATTAGTCTGTTATTTCCACTACATACCAAGATGTTTTATCTGAACTTTGGGTGATGAATCATGTGTAAACTTCTGCTGGAGATACGGCCACCAAAGTTGAGCTAATAGTAGAGCTACTGGTTTTAACATAAGTCTTGTTACTGGCTCACAGTGAGGGGTACAGCATTCAGGTCAGGACTTCAAATAATACTGGGACACTTTTGTATGCTCCAGCAATTTGGCAGGATTAGCCCATATTACCCCTGCATGTTCATCTACAGGGCGGGCTGCACAGTAAAGAATACACTCTAGATTGTAAGGGTTTCAGTACTGGGTAATGTGTCCTCCAATGCACATGGAGTCTCCATAGTGTATGGTTTCTATTAGATGAACGTACAGGGTTCAGAGGTCAGTTAAAAAATAAGAACTGTCTCTCAATCAGCTCTTATGGAGAGACGGTTATCTGAGAACATATTGTTTGCTTCTTTGTTTTGAGACAGGGTTTGAGACTGGCCTGGAACTTGCTACTTAGACCAGCATGGCCTCAAACTCCCAGAGATTCCCCCATGCCTCTGGTTCCTGAGTGCTGAGATTAAAGTTGTGCACCTTCACCCCAACCTGGGAATATGATATTTACTTTTTGTAATTTATTTTTATTTTATGTACATTGGTGTTTTGCCTGTATGCATGTCTGTGTGAGGCTGTCAGATCGTGGAGTTACAGACAACTGTAAGCTGCCATGTGGGTACTTGGAATTGAACCTGGGTCCTCAAGAATATATTCCTAGAAGCGCTCTCAAAATAAAACTGCTTGGCTGCTTATTAACCATGAATGAAGTAGGAATCCCAGTAGGCATTGAACATGGCAGTGGGACAATGACTAGCTCTGGGTTTCTCACAGCCACCCTTACTTACCTGCTGGTTCTCCTTCTTCCAGCCTTCCTGGTTGCTGAGGATGCCCAAGGCCTTCTGCATAGCAACCTCTCCCTGATGGATATAGGACAGCTCCTGCTCACTGTAGAGGGCCACTTCCAGCTGAGAACCTGTGTCCATAGCCACAGAAAGAAAGAAAATGTCTTTCCAGTGTCCTAGCAGATGGATCCCCAGCTCTTATTCCTTTGCCTTCTAAATGTGCTCAGTCCTCACAAGAGACAGGATCAAAGGCAAAGGGTCCTGTCTGAAGGTCAAGGTAGACACAGGAGTTGGGTAGCCACAGACAGAGAACAGGCCTCATGAGCAACATTTGCATCCTAAGACCCATCACTGCCAGCAGCTCAGAAGCCCCAACATTTACCAAGCAGAGAACTCCGACGCCGAACCTGACTGATCCATCCAGGGCTGGAGTCTCCCAGTGTTCTTCGGTTCAGCTCCTGGCCAATGGCCAGCACAGCTTGGTGCCTCAGTCCTGCAGAGGGAAGGAAACATTTGCCAAGGAACTAGAAAGTCCCTTAGTGCGAGGCCGTCCAGTCCACTCATCACAGAGGAGCAAAGTGGCTCAGAAACAGATGCCAGCAGGGACCTGAACTAGAGCCACATCTGTAAGTCCAAGTTCAGTATTAAGCTTCCTCCAGCACTTCCAGAGCCCAGAAATCTCTTTTCCATCTTGGAAAATAAGGGTAGACTGGTCAAACCTGGCCCTACTTGGACACAGTTTACCTGGGTGTGCTGTAAACTAGAAAAAGGTTACTCAGTAGGTCACTGGATATGGAGTAGGATACGTTTGTCTCCTGAAGGTTACCCCCATTACCAAGATCTGCCTGTTGGCTATACAGTGAAAAGAGCCCCCCATTCTGCCTTGTTCTTCTGCTTCCCAACATTTCTGTCTTTTTTCTTATGCTGATCTTCCCAGTGTCTTTGGCTTGCCAGACACTGCTTCTTAGAGTCAAGGCTGGCTTCTGCATTTCTCTACCACTGTGGCAAAGACTTGCCTGGGACCTTTGGTATAGACCTGGTCCAATCCCAAAAGAAGGCAATGTCAGTTCTAGCTCCAGAATACGTGGGGTCCTAGAGCAGAGGCCAGAAATTACGGGGTTTGGGTGAGATATGGCATCTTACTATCCAGCCTAATTTTTCAGGTAAAAAACTGAGGTCCAGAGGGGAAAAGATTTACCCAGGCTCACTCAGTAAGAGATACAAGTGGGACCCAAGCCTAGGTGGCCTGTCCCTCATCCAAGATCTTTCCCACAAAACCATATTGCCTGGAGGCTCCTGGCAAGCTCTCATGCCCCCAGAGACTCACCTTTCATGTTCCGCATATGTCTGTAGGAGCTTCCAGCACATAGCTTAAACGTGGCTAGTAACATGCTCTCCTGGCAGATGTGGCAGTACTGCAATTGTGGCTGCCTCAAGGATTTGTTCTTCCTGAGCCACTCAAGGTCTTGCAGCTGCGGCTTGAGTCAAGTGCTCTGCCTTAAATGCTTCCAGCGGAAGGCTGTGCATCATCACTTGGAGATAAAAAAGCCATCAGTCACTGTACAGAGGGTCAAGGATGGAGTGATTGCCTCATACTGCGGTGTTGGCCAAGGTGGGAGGGGGCAGAATGCGTAGAAGGGAGTGGAGAGGGCCAGGCTCAGTAGATGGGGGGGGGGGAGAGGCCATTGAGATGGGGCAGTTGGACAGAAGGCATACAGCTTCTCCAAAGATTTAAATGTAAACTTTAAGGCCTGTCCTCAGGCTCCTCAGCATTCACTTAGATGTCCACTAACTGAGGTGGATCACCTCTGTTCAGAAACACCGGCTGAGAGTGAGCCAGGGTAAAAGAACCAAAGAGGAGTAAGTTAACACTACAAGACAAGAGCCAGGTATGGTGGTGTACACCTTAATGCCAGCACTCTGAGGCAGAGGAAAGTAGATTTCTGAGTTCGAGGCCAGCATCGTCTATATAGTAAGTTTCAGAACAGCCAAGGCTACTAGAAAGACACTATATAAAACTAAATAAATAAAAATATAAAAAAGCTGCAAGACTATCTATCAGTTAGGCCTGCTACAGGACTTGGCCTGTGCAGATCTGCAGAAAGGTGGGAAAGACAAATACTTGGACATCTACTCCCCATCAGTTTTTGCAAGTAGGGGATCCTGTGGTACTGGGCCGCAAAGACCCATGGAGCCTTTGAAGTGCCTCAGATGTGCCAGGCAGGGGAAAAAACTTCAGGTCCCAGTACTGCTTTGCCAAGACCTCTTCCTTGCAAAGGCAATTTGAGGATGCTTCTAAGCCAATTTCCTATAGCTATAATGTTGCCAATAGTCTCATTAGATTTGCCCTGCCCCCAACCCTGCAGCCCACATTTGATCTCTGTATCCTGTTACTACTGTCCTGACTCAGAACAAGACCCACCGTAACTACTACTTTTCGGCCAGTGTTCATTTTTGTCTGCCCCAGCTTTCTAGTAGTTTGTCCCTGATGCTAACCCTCCCCCAATCAGTGCCCCTGGAAAGGTATAACCCAGTGCTTGATCCATGTGTACCTATCCTGTTGTTTTAAGATGGAGTGTCTAACCTGGGCTGTCCTGAAACTTAAGTAGCTGAGATGAGCCTTGAAATCCCAATTTTCCTGCCTCTGACACCCAAGTCCTGGGATTACAGGCATGTGCTGCCATACCCCCCACCCTCCTTTCTATGGGATTACATCCCAGACACAGGTACTGCTTCCTTCTCCAACCCTGTTGCTTGGCTCCAGCACTCAGTTCTTATGAGGACAGAGTGAATTCCTACTCCTCCATCAAGACACTGCTTAGGGAAGCATCAAGGGGCACAGGCACATTTTTGGCTCAGGAAACCTGCCTGTAAGTGCTGCTTCTGGCCCTCAGTGAGTCCCAGGAAGACAGAGGCTTATTCCTCTGCAGCCTGTGCCTAAGCGGAGGGGGTGCTGGCAGGCTTGGCTGCCCTAGCTTTCCCCTACCCATTGCTTGGGACACGTGTAACCCCGGATACACGTGGACCTGCCTTCAGAGAAGGTGCTAGAGAGTTGGGAGGGGGTCGTGTGGGACAGGCCATTCAGATAATGTTCAAGGCCCTGCTATTGCCATTTTGTGGAGAATTATGGCATTCCGAGGAAGGAGGGGCAGTGTGGGCAGACTGGAACACTGAAGCATACAGCTGTTGCTGATGTCAGAGGCTGGCTGCCATTGACTCAGGGAGGGTGTGTTGAGTGACCTCCCCCAGGGCCAAGGCTTGCCTTCCCTGTCCTTTCCAGGCCGAATGACTGCTTAACTCTTGCTGTTCCTCTGAGCTAAGAGGTCAAGAAAGGTCTAGGAATGTCCTCTGATTCTGAATACCTAAATCTGGCTTTCCCTCCTACATGAAGGAGACTGGACAGACAGAGCAGGTTGGGAGAGGGACAAGGTTTTGGAACAGAAAAGGGAACTCCATTAACTACCCAACCAGCCTATACTGAATATCTCCCGTCTGAGTCTACAATTACGACCCTGTGAGTATGACTACAACTCACAGAGACTCAAAGGTGTACTCTGTCAGTACAGGGAGGAAGGGGTGCCACCCAGAAATCCTCCTGCCTCTACCTCCCTAAGTGCTGAGATTAAAGGAAGGGGTGGGTCATCCCTGTTCAGTACTTTCGTTTCTCCCTCCCTGCCTGCCCCCTCAAGTTCTGGGATTATACATTAGTCCTACCATGTCCAGCTTTTTGGGGGTGGGTGTGATGGGACTATTTCTTTAAAATTTTACTTTGTATTTGCCCTCAATGCATTTCTGCATACCATTTGTGAGCCAGGTGCCCATGGAGGCCCAAAGAAGGCATCAGGGATCTCTGGAATTGGAGTTAACAGTAGTGAATTGCAATGTGGGTGCTAGGAACCACACTGGAAAAAAGCAGCCAGTGCTCTTAACCACTGAACCTGAGCCATCCCTCCAGGCCCTCTTTAAAACAAACTGGGAGTTGACTCTGTTGTGGAGACTGGCCCTGCCTTGGCTTCCCTAGTAGCTAGAGCTCAGGTGCACACACTCACTTAGCCCAAAATTTGATTATAGGCCACTTGGTAAATGTAAGACCTAATTGAGCAGAGAAAAGCAAACACCCACAAAACCACCTTTTGTTTCCAATAGAAAAGGACTCCAGGGAGTGGCCACATGCCAAGGTGATGGGTGGAAAGTGCAGACCAGTTCCCTGGAAGGCAGCTGGGAGAGCAGGCAAGAGCCCTAGCTCTCTGTGACCCAGGTTTCTCGAGATGTTTTCTCAGACACTCTGACACAAATTCTTTACACCTGTGGCCACTGCTAAGGCCGTCCTAGGAGAACATGTCTGTGTAATTACTCACCTCCTGATTGCTCAGTGCCCCCCGGCTGTCCTCACCTTTTCCTGCACTACTGGTCCCCTACGTGTCCGAGTGAACCTGAACTGACACCCATTTCTGTCTTTTTTTGGTTTGTTTTCTCTGTGTAACAGCCCTGGCTGTCCTGGAACTCAGAGATCCACCCGCCAAATCCTGGGATTAAGGCATGTGTTGCCACCACCCCGCTCATTTACCGGTATCAATCTAACCTTCAACAGGTTTACAGTGATACCTAGTATTTCAAGCATCATTCAGATATTTGGGCTACAGCTTGGAGCAGACAGAAAATCCCACTCTTCTGCTTGGTTTGGTTTGGTTCAGACAGGGTCTGTGTAGTCTTAGAACTCTCTATGTGACCAGAGGTCCTCCTGTCTTTACCTCCCAAGTGCTGGGATTAAAGATGGGCACCAGCACCCATGGCTTTTCCTTTTTTTTAAAAGACAGGGACTCATGTAGCCCAGGTTGGCTTCCAATTCACATTGTAGCAGAGGTTGGCTTTAAATACACGACCTCCCTGCCTCTCAGTCTTCCATGTGTTGGGATTATAGACCTATGTCTACACACTCAGAAATCCCAGTCTTAGGCATTTACTCTGGGGTTCAGACAGTAAATAATGACAACTTTTGTCAGCCATCAATGGTCATCAGGGTAAAAAAATGAAGCCGGAAGGGAAGATCTCATTTCTCCTCTGAAAGCAGCTGCCCCAATTGGTAGGAACTTTTAATATGAACTGGAATTGCTCCTGCAGTATAATAGAAGTGTACCTACAGTGGTCATTGGTCAAGGAACCAGATTTCTGTGTGTACACAGGGAGAGGTAGTGGAAGCAAGCCCCCAAGCTGAGCAATCTGGGATAAGAGGAAGGAAGCAGTCCAAACAGTTTAACTTTTAGGTTCAATTCCAGACTGCTACATGACATAGATCAGAAACAATACATCACACAGGACTGAACCTTGCAAAGAACATAGATTCAAGGAGCAACTCGTCTTTTTGTTTCTGTTTTGTTTTTTGAGACAGGGTTTCCTCTGTGCAGCTTTGGAGGCTGTCCTAGCACTCGCTCTGGAGACCAGGCTGGCTTCGAACTCACAAATATCCGCCTGCCTCTGCCTCCCGAGTGCTGGGATTAATGGTGTGTGCCACCAATGCCTGGCATAACTAGTCTTTTATCACATTGGAAATGTCTGCTGTTGAAGTAAGTGACCTACAGCTCTTGAAGGTGCCAAATGTTCTAGAAATGCAAAGAGCAATTGAATAGTCACTCTACTATCCCTGTACTTAGATATATGATATGAACATTGCACATTCTTTTTTTGCTTATTTTTTGAGACAGAGTTTCTTTGTGTAGTCTTGGCTGTCCTGGAATTCACTGTGTAGGTCAGGCTGGTTTCCCGCTCAACAGAGATCCGCCTGCCTCTGTCTCCACTGTCTGGCACCCACCACCACATGGCACGAGCCTTGCACATTCTAAACACTATTACTGAGCTACACCCTCAATCCAAGGACAATTTCTTTGAAAAGTATCTACTGTAAAACCAACCCCAAAATGAAGAATTAACATGCCAAATGGCTTACAGGCATCTGGGGCAGATTTTTTTAAACACCTGAAATCATAAACTAAGTATATTTCATATCAGAGTACCACTGTCCAAAAAAAAAAAATCATAGAAAGGAAGTATCTGGGATAATTAAATTACTGAGACTCATTTTAATGCTGTTGCTTCATTCTGTCTGTTGTCTACTAAACCACACTGCTTTTGAAGGGTCATCTGTTACACTTACTAGGCAATCATTACTCTCCAACAATCAAGTCAACACAGTGGCGTCATTATGAATCAGTAGTTACTAAACACCACTTGTGGATTTTTTTTTTTTGGGGGGGGGTGATCTAAGCAAAAGATGATCAAAACTTAAGTGTAAAGGACTTGGAAACCTAGCTAAATTAACAGAAATCTCTGAGAACAAAGCATATTATGAAGACATGAGAAATAGTTTGGAATAGCTGTGGGTAAAGCAGGGTTTAAGTTTTTTAAACAAGAGGCTTCTGCTGTAACTAGTTCCTTGAAAACTCCCCTCTCAATCTTGAAACTTGATCAGATATAAACATGAAAATGGGAACATGAACCAGCAAGATAGCATGAAAATGTCTTCCCAAGCAGCCAACTACTTGGAATTATGACGGCAGGGGATCCTAGCATATGGATACTCACACCTTTTGTCATTTCACCAGGGCAACTCCATTTTGTGAAATAATATGACATTATGGGATTCATTCTTTATTTACAAGTAAATGAAGCAATACCTTTTGAAAATAAATGTAAACTCTGAGATAAGAAAAGCAATATACAGACGTGACTTGTGTGAGGGCGGGTCATGCCACTGTTTCTTTAAACAATAAAGCCGGGCATGGTGAAGCACACTTATAATCCCACAAGTCAGAGGTCAGCCTGGTCTACATAGAGAGTTCTAGGTTAGCCAGGGCTAAATAACAAGACTGTTTGGAACAGAAAAGCAAAACAAAATATACAATGCTTTTGTTAAAAAAAAAAAAAAAAAAAAAAAAAAAATTTTTTTTTAAAAAAAAAAAAAAAAAAAAAAAAACACATGATTTCTTTATGTTGGCATATGTGAAAGAAGAAGATCACCTTTCACTTTTGACAGTCTTTGGTCAAATGTGTGATGTGACCAGGTGACAGCCCTTGCTCTCTAGAGCAGGGACTCAGTACTCATCCAGAGTATCTGCCCGAGGAATGGAGAGGCCTCGATCTTTAAGAGCCTGGACCTTCAGCTTCTCTGCCTCCAGTCTGGTCTGCTGCTCTACTCTCTGTTCTTCTAGGATCTCCTCAATAGATACTTGCTGGAGGGGCGTGTCGCTCTCTTTTTCCAAGTCCTGCAAAACAGGCAGGTTTGAACAACTTCCTGTGAAGTCCAGAATAGAAAACCTTCAGACAAACAGATTCCAGTAGGTAGCTTGGACTGCTTTTCATAACCATGATAAGGCTGAAATATCACTCTCCTGTAGACAGAGACAGGTACACACTACTACACAACATACACTACTCAGAATGTGCACATGGTTTGCTATCAGTGTGCACAGCAAAGGTTCTGGTAAAGTCCCATGTTAGTCAGGGTTAAATTGAATCCCTAGAAGCACATAAAGCTGGACACAGTAGTACACACCTATAATCCCAGTGCTTCTACAGGGAGATGGGAGAAACACAGCAGAATCTCTGGAAACTGGACAGCCAGCTAGCTTGGGGCACACAGTGGAAAGGACCCTATCTCAAACAAGGTACAATGAGCACTGATACCCAAGACCCTCCTTTGACCCCTTCATGTGCCTGCACTCACACCTCTAAGGCTGTTTACACAAAGTATCTAACTATACAGGACCCAGAAAAGTATTCAGGCCATGACAGCTACAGGGTTTCTCTATGTAGCCCTAGCTGTACTGGAACTCTCTGTAGACCAGGCTGTCCTTGAACTTACAGAGATCAACTTGCCTCTGCCTCCCACATGTTGGCGTTAAAGGCATGCGCCACCATGCCCAGATAAATTCTTTTAATAAAAATATTACGTAATTTCCCTTACTTCAAAACCACATGCACACTGTAGAAAATTTATAGTATTAGCAGACAACCTGAAATTTAAACATTATTCATAATTCTAGTATGGGACAACAATACTTGGTGAATATCACAAATTTTCAGGTGTAGGCTAGTCAATCTATCTGTTATCAGAGGTACTGAGTGTGTGTTTAGGTTTGGGACTGTGTTTTTAAGCTTTGTGTGTTTCAGTAAATGTGTGAAGGCCTACGGACAGCTCTGTGGAGTCTGTCCTCTCCTCCCATATTCTCTAGGGTTCTGGGAATTGAACTCTGTCAGACTTGCACAAGTGCTTTAAACCACCGAGCCATTTCACTGGCCTAGGAACCGTTTTGTTCCATGGTGCTGGCCAGAGCCCCGTGTATGCTAGCAAGTCCTCTACTGGTTCACTACATTGCCAGACCAGGTGCACATACTGACTTAAAATAAAAACAAACCCATAACGCAAACAGTGACTGTAAATTTTATTTTCATTTAACACTGTAATATTTGTCATAAACATTTAATAACCAATTTTGTAATGCAGAACTATAAACAAGCTTTACTAGCCACAGATTTTTATCATTCTTACAATGTATAGTATCATCTGTGTTTCTGTAACATGGAAAGCCGACAAAGTAGCAATATATTACTGGGCTCTCCCACTCCTCGAAGACGGGATCTTGGTCATACAGCAAAAGCTGTCTGTCCTAGAATTTACTACATAGCCCAGGCTGACCTCCACTTGTGAATTATGGGATCAGAGGTGTGCCACTAATCTTCTGTGTGACTCTTTTTTAAGACTTATTGTTTTATGTCTAGTCAGGGGTGTGTGCAGAGGCCAGACAAGGGTGTCATACCTTCTGGGGCTGGGAGTTACAGCAGTTATGAGCTCCCCTGTGTGGGTGCTGAAACTGAACATAGGTTCTCTACAAGAGCTAGAAGAGCAGTAAGTACTCAATACTGAGCCATCTTTCTAGTCCCTTTATAACTTCTGATGAGGAGGTTTGCAAAGACACTCATCAGAAAAACTGCAGATGTTTCAGTCTGGATAATAGCTGACACTTGCCTCCAAGGTCTCAGAGCTCAGCAGTTGTGGTATTAGAGGGAGGACTCTTACCAGGAGGTTAGAAGCCACACAAATTGCGTCAGTTCCCTGGGTTATCTGCTAAAAACTACATATAATCACCTAACCTTTTCCTCATAATCCTGGAGTGAAGAAAAGACAATGTTCTTGGCTCTCTGCATCCTGGACTATCCTGAGTATATCACTCACTGCACTATTCATGATGATCATGATTCAACTATCTTTCAAGAGTAAACTTTCTTAGGGCTGGAATCCTTCATTATCAAGAAGAATCCAAACACCTTTTTTTTTCTTTTTGGAATAAGGTCTTGCCCAGGCTAGCTAGAAACTTGTGACCTTCCTACCTCAGTTTCCTTAGTTCTAAGATTACAGGCATGTGCCACCATGGGGCACATTAGAGACTTCTTCAGCAATGCAATATTTCTCTAAACAGATCCTGTCTATGAGTTTTCTTGGGTTTTAGTACATAATTTCTTTGAACTGACTGACGACTGGCAATCATCCTTTTTCAAGAAGATTTTTTAAAAAATTGTATTATGTATACAGCCTTTTTGCTTACATGTATTCCTACACACCAGAAGAGGGCACCAGATCTCACTATAAATGGTTATAAACCACCATGTGGTTGCTGGGAATTAAACTCAGGACCTCTGGAAGAGCAGCCAAGTGCTCTTAACCTCTGAGCCATCTCTCCAGCCCTTAAAGAAGTTTTTTTGTTTGTTTGTTTGTTTTTCCGAGACAGGGTTTCTTTGTGTAGCTTTGGAGCCTATCCTAGCACTTGCTCTGTAGACCAGGCTGGCCTCGAACTCACAGATCTACCTGCCTCTGCCTCCCGAGTGCTGGGATTAAAGGCGTGTGCCACCAACGCCCGGCTAAAGAAGATTTTTAAAAAAAAATACGTATGAATGCTTTACACCTATGTATGTATGTACACTGTGTGCATGCCTAGTGCCCACAAAAGGCATCAGAGCTCTTGGAAGTTACAGATGGCTGTAAGCCACTACGTAGGTGCTGGGAACTGAACCCAGTGCTCTGCCAGAGCAGCCAGTGCTCTTAACTGCTGAGCCATCTTTCTAGCCCCATCACAAGAAAATATTTAAAAACAATGAGACATGAATACATTTCACAGCAGTGTACGGGAAACAGGTGCATGTTTATGTATGAATGTGTACGTGGAGGCCAGAGGTTGACATAGGGTGCATTATCACTCTCTTATTTTTTCAGTCTCTCAGAGAACCTGGAAGATTTGGTTTCAGCTAGACTGGCTAGCCTCTGAACTCCCAGAATCTACCTGTTATCACCTCCCAGTGCTAGAGTTACAGCCTGTACCACCATGCCTGGTTGTTATGTAGGTACCTGGGAGGCAAACTCAGGTTTGCATGCTTGTGCAGCAAACATTTCCTCAGTGAGCCACTTTCCTAGTCTCCTAATCTGGGGATGGTCCGGTGCAGTCCAAGCTGACTTTAAACTCATTACACAGCTGAGTTAAGGCTGTTTCCAACGTGAAGTCTCTCAATCAAACTGTCCCTGACAGAATTTTCTCAAATTATTGTTAAAAGAAAAATAACTACATACTAAACTGCTCTACTCAGAAGATATTTGCTAACCACTGAGAAACTCTAAACACCAAGTAAGAAAACATCAAATGCAGGATTTTCTTGAAAATAGGTTTTCAGTCTTTAATTTCTTCATCTCTCGCCTTCTTTCTTTCCCCATCTTCTGTTGTGGTACTATACATGCTATCAAAGCAACATCCCTTGCCCAATTCTGAATTTCAACCAGTCTCACAGGGACTTTGATTTTCCTAGCAAACCCAGTAAGATTTGACAAAAAAAAAAAAAAAAAAAAAAAAAAAAAAAAAAAAAAAAATCTGAATACTTCAAACATATGTATGTATATAAAAAACACATATACATATAATCATCTGCTAATGTATACACACACAAATACACATAGTGAGATGTAATTTAACATTTCACTTACTATCTGGTCCTTCTGACACAAATATTCAGGTCCCTGCTCTCTGGTCATCCACTCTGAAACCTTAGAATGGCTTTGCCTATACCTATTATTTTCCTTTTTCCCCTTTAAAAGTCTATAAGATACTTTCCTTAAATGCTTCCAATTAACTTCATGCCATGAAAAGCTACTTGCAACCAATTATTTAATCTTATTATTTTTTAAAACTATTTATGTGTTGGGGACAGCATGTGCATATGAACATAGGTGTTCTGGTATCCCCTGGAGCTTGAGTTATAAGCAGTTGTGAGCCGGGAACCAAACTCAGGTTCTCAGTGAGAACAGTATGTGCTCTTAATCACCAAGTCATCTCTCCAACTCCTAACCAATTATTTAAATAATTAATATATCCAAACATGTAAATTTTCAGAGCGAGGCAAGGATTTTTACCATTGTGATATACTTCCAGCTTTAAATTATACTTTTATAAATCAGGACATATCGTTAAAATTTTCTAACTTTTTGTTATTAGACACTATTTAAAACTATACAAATGATCAGTGTATTTGTTCTTGTTTTATTCTTTTTTTGGGGGGGTGGGTGGGGTCTGAAACAGAGTTTCTTTGTGTAGCCCCGCTGTCCTAGAACTATCTCTGTAGACTTAAACTCACAGAGAGCCACCTGCCTCTGCCTCCCAAGTACTGGGATTAAAGGTATGTTTCATTGCCTAGCTCTTTTAAAAGAGGGTGTTATTTTGGAGCCCAGGTTGGCTTGGAACTCACCATGTAGCACAGCTTAGCTTCAAACTAGAGGAGTTCCATTTACCATAACTTCCCAACTGCTGGGATTACAGACATGAGCCACCACACCCGGAAATACTGTTTGTTTCTTTCTAGATGAAAAAACATGGAACACTTAACAGATCTGTGTGTCATGCTTTCACAGGGGCCATGCTAATCTTTCTATTACTCCAGTATTAGTATATGTGCTATGAAAGCAAGCACCAGAAATATTGTTTTCTATCAGCTAAAGCCAACAATATTTTGCTAGCAAGATCAAATTTTTAAAAAGGCAAAAGGCAATGGAATGATGTTAACTACCTTTTGCAGTGTTGCTTTAGCAACTACAGCTTCCCTAACTGGTGGGTTCTTGTGAGAAGCCTGTTGAACTTGGGAAGAAGCCAGCTAGCATCAGTGCCCAGATCCACAGCAGCTTAACAGTTTTCACTTACTATTTCTCCTAGTAGGACCACATTTTCTCCTCTGACCACAAAAATCCCTCGAGGAATATCACCGTACTTTTTGCCCACATGAATGCGCTCCACAGTTTGATGCAGCACTAAGTTAGCTACAAGTACACAGAGAAGAAACATTCAATTATTTAGTTATTTTTAAATTCCACTGATTATAACCAACCATTTAGGAGAATTTGTTTTATTTTTATTTTTTGGCGGGAGGGGGGAGGGAAGGATCTCATTCTAGCCTCACTTGACCTGGAAATCATGATGGAATTCAGGCTGTCTCAAAATTTATGATGACTCTCCTGCCTCAATCTCTTATACACGCTGTGATTACAGGCAGAAAGCCACCATATGTTCAGTTTTAGGAGACATTCAAACAAGTAAAGAATATTTTCCATTATTTGGGCTAATGAATGAATGAATGAAGGCAGGAGTAAGTTACTTCTGTATTATTTAACTGCTAGTATCTCTAGAAAGATAGAAACAAATAGAAATCTTGAAAACCTGAGCCTAGACAACTGCCAAGATTAAAACTCTGGTTTTTTGTAAGTACAAACATACCTGGTAATCTCAATATTCACTATTTATCCCTTCAAAGCACTCAGTTGAATTTAACTTAAGATTGAGAACAATAACCTGTAGGAATATTTTTTCTTTCAATTAGTACTACTTGTTTTACTTGAAGTAAAACAAAAATTGATGTTCGTATTCTTTTTTTAATTTTGTTTTATGTTATGTACATTGGTATTTTGCCTGCATGTATGTCTGTGTGAGGGTGTTGTATCCCCTGGAACTGGAGTTATAGATAGTTGTGAGCTGCCATGTGGGTGCTGGGAATTGAACCTGGGTCCTCTGGAAGAACAGTCAGTGCTCCTAACCCCTAAGCCATCTCTCTAGCCCTGTGATGTTATCTTATTGTCTTGGTTTGAGATTGTTCTTGATCTGTTTCCAAAGGCTCATGGCTGGCTGTTTATTATTTTCTAAATTCCAGTGGTTTAGCTAAGTTTTTCCTCACATTCCAATCTGGTGATCTAACAGATGACCTATAAATGTTCAGTGTGAACTCAGAAGCATCTCATACCAAAGATTCTTACTTCAGAAAATGCAGACTACAAAATGAAAACTAACTCCCAAATCTGACATATTCGTATATGTAAACTATTGAGTTTATTGTCCCCCTCCCCCTTAACAGTTTCAGGAAATGGCTTCTACTCTATTTTCAGGGGACAGGGAGGGATGACCACAGGAAATGATTTGAAGACTAACCTTTTTTCTGTCATTTGGCTCCCTCTAATGGGGAAATAAAAACACTAGTGAAAATCAGTTTCAGTTCACTTTGCTGACACATGGGGAAAAGTTAAGAGTAAAAAGATGAGTAAATTTGAATATAAAATGACACCAAAAAAATTCAATGTTGAGTAAAGGGTGAGTTCATAACAATACATACCAAACTGATCGATGCTTCTTAGAAAACCTATAAGTGTCCTTCCATCTCGTAGCAGGACCAAGTGCTTTTCTGGGGAAAGGAGAAAAGATCTTTAAAACAAAAGCGACAGTTCCAGTGAGCTTATATGGTAACAATAAAAATTTAGTTACTAGCTGTTTAAGCTGGACCCTCTTCTAATGTTTTTAGGGTGGTGTTCGTTGTAAGACTTGGGAGGGAAGACTAGGGCAGGCTGGGATTTAGATGAGATCAGTGTTGGAAAGACTCAGTGGTAGAATTACGTCATGTGACAAATACAACAGAATAATATATAAGACAGCATGATAGTAGAATGAAGAACACACCAAAGTGGCTATACCAAGTGTGGAGGGGAGCTCTCTCTGAAGAGATAACTTTAGAGTGACAGTAAAGGATTAGAATAAGCCAGATATTAGAAAAGCATACAAGATTTTAACCACTCATTTCTTTAATGCTATGCATAAAGTACTTTTGTTTGTTGGTTTTTGTTCTGGCTGTCCTGAAAGTCATTCTGTAGACCAGGCTGGTCTCAAATTCAGAGATCGGCTGCCTCTGACTCCTGAGTGCTGGGATTAAAGGTGTGAGTCACCAATGCCCAGCATAAAGTACTTTCTATATGAAGAGAGGAGCTATGATTCTTCCCTAAGGAATTTATAGTCATATTAGGCTACAACTAATTATCACAATCAAGCAAATCTTACTTAAGAAAGAAACTACACCTATCCCAGTTGGACCTAGAAGGATAAATTTTGTCTATGAAAAGGGAAAGCAAAATGAAAAAAAAAATCTAATAAATAAAGCATACAGAGGAAAAGTAGTATATTAACATTTGTCTCAAAGTTAAAGGAAAGAACAGGAGTTAAAGTCAGAAAAGTATTAGAGGCAAGCTTTAACTTCAAAAGGAATAAGAAAACACTGAAGACTGGTACATGGAAAATAGGAGTTACGATGCTAAAATAGGTCTATAATGCCTACAGATTTAGAGAAAACAGACCAAACAGGCAGCTCTGACCACCTGATCTAGAAAACAGTAATGTCCAGAAAGATAAGGAAATTAGCAAGAACTAGTGTTAGAGAGACCAAGAAATCAATAGAGGGATGGTGAGAGGGCTCAGTGGTTAAGAGCACTGGCTGCTCTTACAAAGGACCCGGGTTCAATTCCCAGCACCCACATGGTGGCTCACAACCCCTATAACTCTAGTTCCAGGGATGCTACTTCCTCTTTTGGTCTCCCCAGCAGCAGGCAAGCACAGAGTACACAGACATACATACTCATATACATCTTGTTTTTTTTCTTTAATGTTGCTTTTAAAATGCTGTGTGAAAGGCCGGACAGTGGTGATGCACACCTTTAATCCCAGCACTCGGGAGGCAGAGGCAGCTAGCCTGGTCTACAGAGGGAGTTCCAGCATAGCCAGTGATATTACAGATAAATCCTGTCTCAAAAAAACAAAACAACAAGAAAAAGCTGTTTGAGGAACCAGGTAAGAATTTAGGGGTAAAAATTAAAGTGTGGGCTGGAGAGATGGCTCAAATGAGCACATGTTACCCTTACAGAGGATGAGTTCGGTTACTAGCACCCACACTGTGGCTCTCAACTGTCCTTAACTCCAGTTCCAGGTTGGGCAGTGGTGGTGTATGTCTTTAATTCCAGCACTTGGGAGGCAGAGGCAGGCAGATCTCTGTGAGTTGGAGACCAGCCTGGTCTACAGAGTGTGTTCCAGGACAGCCCCCAAAGCCACAGAGAAACCCTGTCTCAAAACAAACAAACAAACAAAAAACAACTCCAATTCCAGAGGATTTGATGAAGAAAAGGGTATCTGACTTCGTGGATACCAGGCACGCACACGGTGCACGTACATGCAAGACATGCAAATATAAACAATAAAAATCCTTAAAAGAAATTGTATCCTCTTGGTTTATACAGAACTGACCTATTTTCAGGAAAAGCAAAGCTGTCGAACAGAAAAAAAGTAAGTCTGAAGAGACTTCGCCTTTCTAAAAAAGTCAGTTATTACAGCTGACACCTGCCCCACTTTAATCTGAAAGCGCTAACGACCCTCATAGAAAAAGAAGGTTGCAAGGGGCTACACAACAGAAAACCTGCGCTGACTGCTAATTAAATTCAACTGCTGCCGTCTTAACATTTTCGGGTTTTGGTGGGTCCTCCTAGAAGCACTCAACCATCTGCCGTCAAGTATAACTTGCAGGAAAGGCAGGGTACACGAAGGAAGTCGCCTGGGTCACTTCACAGTTCGCACGTCGGATGCTGCGCCCCTCGGAAGGAGTTCCACAGGGTGAGGGTCCCCAGTCCAGGGGCAGGGGAGGCAGGTTAGGGATGGGCTCCGAGGCTGTGAAGGCAGACCAGCCAGCCGGGGCCAGGGCTCACTCTCGAAGCTCCGTCTCGAGGGGAGCCCTCTCGAGGAAAGGTCCCACACCAGGCTTCCCCCGGGGAGAGGTACTCACTGTCGATGTCCTCGATGAGGCTGGCGGTGCCGGGCATATAGTTCATTTTGAGCTCAGGCAAGGCTGCCCTGGACAGCCACGGTGGGCGAGGGCATCCAGTCGCCCGTCGGCGGGACACGGACGGGAACCCGCCGCTCACCTGCAACTCAATTGCCGCTAGTCGCCGGAAGCGCTTTCAAGTTACCCCACCCACTTCCGGTATCGCCTGTCCGTCCACAGAAAGAGGCGTGCCGGGCGAGCGGTGGTGGGCAGCGTCTCTTCCTCTCGGGGCAGTGAAGTGGAGTCCAGATCGACTGGACGGAGGGCGGGGAGACAGGCGTTTCCCCCGCGCGTCACGAGTACCGTGTCTCTGCGCTTTCCTGCTCCGAGCCCCAGAGTGAGGGGTACGCTCCATCCCAGGCTCGGCGCTCGGCGTGCAAGGGGCGGGACTTGCTCGGGATTGGCGGCAGCCGTCCGACCCTTTTCGCCGCCGGCCAGTACCTGTCGCCCGCAGGCGCCTGCGCAATGGGCCGGCCGTGGGGGGCGGGAAGCGCTTCGCGGCAGCGGAGCCCATGTCGGCCCTGAGGCGCTCGGGCTACGGCCCCAGTGACGGCCCTTCGTACGGCCGCTACTATGGGCCCGGGGGTGGCGATGTCCCGGTGCACGTACCTCCGCCCTTATACCCTCCTCTTCGGCCCGAGCCTCCCCAGCCTCCAGTTTCCTGGCGAGGGCGCGGGGGCGCCCCGGCCGAGACCACCTGGCCCGGAGAAGGCGCAGGTGGCGATGCCTACTACCCCTCCGGAGCCGCCTGGGCAGAGCCGAGCAGAGCCGGAGGCGCACACCAGGTAAGCTTCGCAGTCTTTCCCCGGGACCCAGAAGGGAAGTCTTGGGCGGAGGTGAGGACCATTGGGGGTTTTATACTTAGGGTTTGTTACGACTCGGGTTTCTGATTTGTTCTTCTTCTGGGGAAGGTGCAGAGAAAGAGACTGGAGACGTAAGTGAGGGGATAGATGCTTGTGTTCCATTTGTCCCTTCATTTTTACTTCAGCCGTCATAAGAGTGCCAGTTATCACCAAAAAAAAAAAAAAAATATTCTGCGCTGACTTCCTAAGCTTAGTAGCAGGCTGCAGGAATCTGTCTCCCGAGAGCGTAATGTAGGGTGATTGGGCTGTAAAAATTTATCCTGCGTGGCTCGGGCAGCTGCAGTCCCAGGCGTTACTCAGCAGCCCCTCCCGCGGGGGAGGGGTGGGGGGGGATCCATCATTTAGTCCCTTATCACTAAATCTTTGCCTGGGATTGAATCACGAATAATCAATGTTGCAAAGTACCTTTATGTTCTATTTAATCACCACAAGGCTGAAAGACAGATGTTATTAATGCTTCCCATTTGTGAAAGAAGGCGGCTCTGGGAGATTAACTTGCCTAATATATTTGGACCTGTAACATTTTATTACCTGTATACATGCCAAAAATGTATTCCCATTTTTTTCCTTGTAAGGAGAAATGGTATAGGATGGTGGCACACATCTTTGGCCTTCATAACATCCTTATTTTCTGAAAATGAACTATAAAATTTCCCAATCATTAATGATGGGATTGCAAAATACTACAGTGCTTTGGGAAATAGCTGGGTAGTTTGTAAAATTTGTGGCAGAGAATTAGCTTGTGATCTAGCAGATCCACTTGTTAAGTATACTCAAGAAATGGAAAACAACAAAAAACAAAAACAAAAAAGAAATGGAAGACATGTCCACCTAAAAAGTTGTTTAACATGTCTTCATAGCATCATTAATCACAACGGCCAAAAACTCATGTAGTTATCAACTGATGGCTGGATTACCAATGGCTGGATACAATAGCATATGTTCTAAAACATAACATCCAGAAAGTAATGAATTCTCTATTCAATTTGTTTCAACGTGGATGAACCTTGAATAGATCATGCATGGTGGGTGAAGGTAGTCACAAGGATTGAGTTTCATTTAAATGTAGTGCCACCGTAAGAAGTTCCTAGAGACAGAAACATTAGTGGCTGCTGGAGTTGGAGACTGGAAGGAAGCATTGAAAAACTGGCCTCTGAAGTGTTGGTGTTCTGAAGTTAGTGATAAGGGCTTCACAGTTTTGAGTACCTTAAAAACCCCTGAATTGTACATTTTAAAAGGGTGGACTAAGTATTTCTCTAAAACTTGTGTAAGAATGAATACATGCAGTACTAAGAGGTTAACGTAAAGAAGAATCCATATTTTCTGTGCTGATTCCATAAGTAAGATGGAATAAGTAGGCTGTTGGACTTTTATGGTCTAGCGATGAAGTACTCGCCCAAATTAAAGATCAGTTGATGAAGAAAAGGAGTGATCTTTAAACTGCCAACTGACTTCTATTGAGTTTTCTATATTATCAAACTCTTAAGTCTGTTTTCTGGAGTAGAGATAGAAAAAAGACTTGCAAAAGTTAAAGTTCCAGTGTCATGTAGAGAGTTGTGAGGTTTGGTTGGAGTAAAGCTGTTCTAATAGTGTAGGTTATGGTGCTAGAATAGTTTGACATAGAACTGGAAACATATAATGGGCATTTATAAATCATTTTAAACTTTACTTTTCAGGGTGATGATCCTGAAACTTGAGAAGTTAAGGATTGGATTTCATTTCTTTTCTTTTTCTTCTCCTCCCACCCCCCAGATAGGGTTTCTCTGTGTAGCCCTGACTGTCCTGGAATTCACTCTATAGACTAGGCTGGCCTCAAACTCAGGGGTCTGCCTGCCTCTTCCTCGGCCTCCAGACTGCTGGGATTAAAGGCATATGCCACCATGCCCAATGAAAGGGTAGAATTTCTTATACAGCCAGAAAAAAAAAAAAACAAAAAAAAAACAAAAAAAAAACAAATCAAAGATATGCATGTTGCCATAGACGTACGTTTTTTTTCAAACCCACAATCTAACTTTATTGAATTTTAGTAAATTTTATAGTATATCTTAGAAACAAACAAACAAAAAACCAAACCAAACAAACAAACAAACAAAAACACTACTAGGGAAATGCTCTGTGGCCAAGGTGCTTGCCTTGTATGTGAAGTCAGGGCATTGGCTCCCTAGACCCCGTGTAAATGCTGGGTGGCTTGTCTGTGATTCCAGCTTTAGAGGGTAGAGTTGGGATCCTTAGATCTAGCTGGCTGGCAAGACTAGCTAGCAATGCCAGAGAGCTGTGGTTTTTGATTGAGAGACCCCACCTCTTTGAGTGAGATAGAAGAGCAATTGAGGGAATCAGCCTCGGGCTTTAATATGCATGTACAGTGTCCTCACATGCGGAAAAGAGGGGTATAGGAATTTTTTTCTTTGTTTTCCCCCTAATGGTGAGACTTGTACCCAGGGCCTTGTATATTCTAGGCATATTTTTTATCAGTGACCTGCCTATAGCTGCAATCCTACAGGAAACTTTAAAAATCTACCTAGAAAGTGTGATCTGTGGGTAGCAACCTTTACTATCACTGCAAGGCTGTTAGAAATGCAGAGTCTTGCAACTGATTCATGTGCACAGCAAAGGGTCAAGTACGTTGAGGAGCTTACTCTGAACACACAAAGACTTGATTTTACTCATTAATTTTTCCAAGATGGGTCTCTTGTATCTTAGGCTGGCCCCAAACTCACCATGTAGCCAAGGATGATCTTGAATTTCTGAGCTTCTTGCCTCTACCTCTCAAATTCGTAGTATAGGTGAGCTCCACCCTACCTGTTTTGTTTTTTTTTTAATTAACAAATTTAAATATGGTATAGAGGAAAACTGGAAATCTACTTTTACCAGGTTTGGTTTGGGGTTTATTGTTTGTTTGTTTTGTTTTGAGACAGGGTTTCTCTGTGTAGCTCTGGCTGTCCTGGAACTTGATTTGTAGACCAGGCTGGTCTTGAACTCAGACTAGCCTACTTCTGCCTCCTAAGAGCTGGAATTAAAGGCTTGTGCCACTACCACCAGGCTTTCATCCATTTTTTTGAGAGAGCAACTTCTAGGGCTGGAGAGATAGCTCAATGGTTATGAGCATTGGATACTCTTCCAGAGGACCTGGGTTCAATTCAGCATTCACATGACAGTTCACAACTGTCTGTAACTCTAGTTCCAGGTGGTCTGTCGCCCCCTTCTGGCACCAGACACACATATGATGTATTTACATGCATGTTGTTTGTAATATTTCTTTCTATTCTGTTGCCACTGCTCTTGGTTGGCCACCAGAGCTAGATGGTAAAATCCTGTTGTTGAAGATACTTAATGAGTTGTTTTCAGGACAGAGAAATTAAAGTGAAACTGAGCTGGAAGCTTTCTCCCTGCTGGCTAACTTTCATAATGCCTTGAGTTGCTATGCAAGCATCTTGGGGGAAAAAAAAAAATCCTAACAGTCTTAACCAGATATGGACCCATGCTAAACCACTAACTTGCCTACCAAAATGTGCCCACTTATGTGATAGTGGTGTGACTGTTATAGGGTTAACAAATCACTTCGTGTTTGAGTCCCACTACAGAAGAGAATTGCTGTTTTGCTAAATGAACAAATTGTGCCCACTAAAGATCTTCCTTCAAATTACTTATGTAAACATAAGTTTACAGATGCTCACAGATGAGTGCTATTCTCAGGTTTGGTCAAAGGTTTGCTGTTGTTGGTAGTGGTGGTGGTAGGGTTTATGTGTGTGTTATAGTGGGTGGTGATTAGTGCTGAGACTTAACAACTGGTTAATGTGCTGGAAAAAAAATGTGACTGTTGAATGCTCAGCCCTAAATGGGACATATATTTTATCCTTCCAAGGCTCAAAGAACATTAAGGAAGTGGGGGATGGGAATACTAAGAGCCAGAGAAAGGAGAGGGCTGTTAGGGAAGACTGTCTTCTGGGTGTGACATGATCGTTGCATTGGTGAAGTCACAGTAGCTGTGATTACCTGCGCAATATTGGGCTTAGCAGCACTCTGTAACGGAGGAGAGACTCATGCGACTCCACCTTTCTGAGGATTTGTAGGCCATAAACATGCTAGTAGAGAGTGGCTGACAAGGCCCCACCCCTTCCAGAGGCACCATTGACAGTTAATCGTTGCTGGGGGTGGGTTTGGGTAGTCTTCAGTGATGTAGCCTCTGTTATGCTGTCTGTGCTCCTGTGAATAACTCTTCATCCATGCTCATTGGAGCAACCCTGATTAAATGTACTCAGATTGTTGTGGAGTGTGGGCAAGCCTACTGTGTAGTCTGTGTAATTGTTAGCAGTGCTGAGTGTCTTCTTGAGATACACAGCAATAGTGTAAAGTGAAGACAGAAGAGAGCTTGGCCAGGCCTGCAATCCCATCTCATGAGGTAGTTTAGGATGAAAGGTTAGAAATTTTCAGACCAGCCTGGCAACTCTGTAGAACCCTATGTTAAAGTAAAATAACAAATGGCTAAGGATGTACCAAACTGATAGAATACTTGCCTAGCTTCTTAAAACTCTGGGTTTAATCCCCAGTATGGGAAGTAAAAAAGGACAAACTAAAAACAAACAAACTAGAGAGCTGCTTGTGTTTTCTCTACACAGTGGATAACTCCATTTCAACAGGGTTTGGTTTTTGTGAGGTGGGTATCTGAAGAAAGAAAAGCAAGGGATATGGTGTTAGGAAGCTGAGTCAGGAAGAAAGCTAATGGATAGTGTGGACGATACTGGTAGTAAAATTTGAACCTGAGTCAACTGGAAGGACAGTCCCTTGATGGAGTTCTTAAGATTTAGACTTGGCCCCACCACCCCTAGGGCAATCAGCTTCAGCCCTTGTCTTCTCATGTCTTTACTCATGATTTAAAGTCGTGGGAAAGAGTGTAGATACACAATAATTCCAGGTTTAATCCAGCATAACCAACAAACCACAAAAACCAACAGACAAAACCCTCTTCTTTAAAGGAAATAAAAATGGTTTGTTATGAGCCAAAAGTACACTTAAACTCTTAAGTTCAAAGCCTAGTAACTCACCTTACTGAATAATAAACACATCATGTGTTAAACTAGATAGTCAGTGCTTTGGAAAAGTTTAAGAATTGGTTTGGGGGATTCTTACAAGAGTTTAGTGGCTTTATTGCAATTTATTTGAGGACGCAGCCTGAAAAGATGTCATCACAGCTAGACTTACTCCTTCAAGGGTGATTGTTCTATATGAGTTGATGGTACTGAAGTTATAGGTTGTAAGCAGAAAGCTTAGCCATAGGAAAAAGCACTAGAATACAAAAAAAAAAAAAAAAAAAAAAAAGATGTATTTACGTGTAGTAACTTGAGTAGTAATAGTTTCATATTCTACCGTTGTTATGTTAAGTATTATCCTAAATAGTGACAAATAACTATGTTAAACAGGCTATTTCATACCTGAAACATTTAGGACCAGAAATACTTCAGGTTTCAGATTTTTGAAGATACCTGCATAAAAATCATGAATTATTTTGAAGGCAGGACCTAAATGTAAACATGAAATTCAAGAATGTACAACTTTTACATGTTTGTAAACTTTAAAGGCAACTAACTGTACAACATTTTAATACCCCTGCATTTATTTGTTTGTTTTGCTGTGCTGAGAATGGAACCTAGAGCCTTGAATGAGCTTGATAAGGACTCTACCACTGAGCCACTCTCTCTGTCCATTACATGCATTTGACTGCAGTTCATTACCCGAGATCAAGTGTGACTTTTTCCTCCTGGAATGCCATATCAAAGCTCAAAATATCCAGAATTAGGGCAGTTTGGATTTCAGATTTTCAGATTGGGTATACTCAACATGTACTGACAACTGGAATTGGGAGAAGGCAAATTACTGTCTATGGTTTTGCTATCCATCTCGACATAGAATCCCTTTTATTATCATTTCATTGTATGGTGGATAATGCATAAGATTACTCTTCTTTTGTGTGTTGTTGTTTTTTGTTTTTCGAGACTGGGTTTCTCTGTGGCTTTGGAGGTTGCCCTGGAACTTGCTCTGTAGACTAGGCTGTCCTCGAACTCAGAGAGATTCACCTGCCTCTGCCTCCCGAGTGCTAGGATTAAAGGCATGTGCCACAATGGCCGGCCAAGATCAGTCTTTTACCAGCTATTCAATAGTTGTTTTGTTCTGGGGCATGTGATATACTTTGTACTTATATCTTTTTAAGTTTAATAATTATAGTGGCCTTATAGTAGGGCTCCTTTTGTTGTCTGGTGTTCCTTTTGATTCCCATTATCTTGCCTCTTGTTAGAGGTATCCATTTTCCCATCTAACCATTCGTTATTAAGAGTGAATTGGGCCAGGCAGTACTGGTACACGCCATTTCTAGCATTGAGGAGGCAGAGAAAGAGAGGCAGGAGGATCTCCGTGAGTTCAAGGCCAGCATGGTCTAAAGAACGAGTTCCAGGACAGCCAGAGCTGTTACACAAAGAAACCCTGTCTCAAACAAAACAAAATTTAAAAACAGAGTGAATTGAATGTGGTAATGCACACCTGTAATTCTAACTGGGAATTCTAGCTAGGGGCAGGAGGATTGCAAGTTTGAGGTCAACCTGGAAATAAATAGGGAAACTGTTCGAAATGAAAGCATCAACAACAAGAAGAATGCTGTTTAAAATTAACTTGTTTTCCCTTTTTCCTTAGGAACAATCACCATACCCTGGCTATAATTCCAACTACTGGAATTCTGTGCGACCGAGGGCTCCATACCCAAATGCATATCCTGTGAGACCAGAGTTACAAGGCCAGGTATGACTGAAAATTGAGATTTTCTGTCTTTTTTCTTTTTTTTTTTTAAGACAGTTTTATATAGCACAGGATGGCCTGAAATTGTGTATAGTTGAGGTTGACCTTGAACTTCTTGATCCTTGTGGCTCCATCTCACAAGTGCTAGGATTATAGGCCCCTGTTACCACACTCAGTTTTATTTAGTGTTACGGATCAAATCCAGGGCTTCATGAACACTTAAGTAAGCACTCTACGAAGCTTTAATTAAAAAAATTATTAGCAAGCCGGGTGGTGGTGGTGCATGCCTTTAATCCCAGCACTTGTGAGGCAGAGGCAGGTGGATCTCTGAGTTCGAGGCCAGCCTGGTCTACAGAGTGAGTTATGACATTTTCCTTTTTTATTTTATTTAATTTTCTTCATTCTATATGTTTTGATCATATTCTTTTTTTTTTCCCCCTGTATCTTTGGAGCCTGGCCTGGAGCTTGCTCTGTAGACCAGGCTGGCCTCAAACTCACAGAGATCCGCCTGCCTCTGCCTCCCGAAGTACTGGGATTAAAGGTATGTGCCAGCACCACCTGGCTTTCAGGGAACGACTTTTGAGGCTGCAGCAACAAGTGGAGATAGTGCAAGTTCAGAGAAGGCACCAGGTTCTTTGCCAGCAGGAGTATGAGAGTGGCTAGACTAGAAATTGAGAGTGATCAACCAGAACTAACTGGTGCCAGAGTGATGGTATCTGGGGTTGGGGTTTTACATTGTTAGATGATTTGCAAATCAGCTATATAGTGCAGTTGGTGCTTCCCATGCTGTTATTGATGCTGGCTTTGTTCCTAATGGCATGCAGCTTGGTCAGACAGGAACTTTATATTGCTGTCAGGATGTCTGGAGCCGTCTAGTATTTAGACAACAAGGTAATTGTAGCTATTAACAAAGACCCAGAAGTGCTGATTTTCCATATGGCATATATGGAATAGTTGCAGATTTATTTAAGATGGTTCCTGAGATGACTGAGATAATAAAGATTTAAACATGATCATGCCTTAAGAAAACTGTCCAGGCAGTGGAGTCACACGCCTTTAATCCCAGCACTCAGGAGGCAGAGGCAGGCAGATCTCTGTGAGTTCAAGGCTAGCCTGGTCTACAGAGTGAGTTCCAGGACAGTCAGGACTGTTTCATAGAGAAAAACCAAAATAAGGGGGAAAAGAGGATGCAGAAGCAGAGATAAGAAGAACCGCAAGTTTAGCACTAACAGAGGCTTCACAGTGAATTCCAGAGTAAGACCCTTCTCAGACAGACAGGCATATAAGTGAAATTGAAAATAAGAAAGAGTAAAAATAACTGTTTGTACTGTCCTAATATGGTTGTATTTGGGAAATGCGTCTTCAGCCTTTCCTTTGTCATCTGTATATACCTGAAACACTTACATATCTTTTAAATGTTTTAATCCATTTTTTCCATAGTCTGTCTGTGTGGAGTGTGCCACAGTGTACTTGTGGAAGGCAGAGGACAGCTCTCAGGAGCTATTTTCTTTTTCTTTTCTTTTTTTTTTTTTTTTCAGAAAATATTTTTATTTATGTTACTGAAAAAAATTTAAGTTACAGAGAAAAGAAATGAAACATCTGTATCAGAAGCTATTTTCCCTGGGCTCTAGGGATGAAACTGCTGTCACTAGGCTTGCAAAACAGGCACTTTTACCCATTGAGCCATCTCTGCTGCCCTATTGCAAACTTTTGTGCCTGTGTGTCATGTGCAGTTTACAGACTCAGTGACAGGAACTTCCTCCTTTCTGAGAGAGCGCTTAGTCCCTTGTGCAGGAATTACGTGTGGACCGATGACCACCATCCCCAGCTGCTGCTTCCTCCTCCTCTTTACCATTAGGGAAAATTTCAAACAAAAGAAACAAATGTCCTCTCAGCTTCCACAAGTCTCAACACTTGACCGTATTTATCTTTGGAGTATTTCTTAGAGTATTTTGAAGAAAATTCCAACTAGCATATCTTATTGCTAGTAAATAAACCTAAGTATGTTCATTTAAAAATCAACAAAAATAAAAACAAAAACTACCATATCGTGGTGGTTTAAATGAGATTGTCCTGCCCCCCCCCCCCCCCATTGGCTCTGGCATTTGAAAACTTGGACCTCAGTTGGTGGTACTGTTTATGAGACTTAAGAGGTGTGGCCTTGCTTAAGGAAGTATGTCATTGGGGTAGACTTTGAGGGTTTAAAGACTTGAGAGACTTTGAGCTCCCTCTTTCTGCTTTGTACTTATAGTTTAGGATTATAGCTGTCCATGGGTGCTGGTGGCACATGACTTTAATCCCAGCACAGCTCTCAGTCTGGCAGTAAACATACTCCCACCCCCACCCCAGCCATCTTGGAAAGACAACTGCTAAAAAAGTAACCTGTCCTTAACTTTAGCAATGTTGTTTACCAGATAAAAGACCGCGTGGCCAGAAATAGGTAAAGATTTACAATAAAGACAGATTTAGATGAAGAAAAACCTCTAAAGGTTTACAGTGTGTTTAAAAATATACTTAGGCTTCTGAGAGAAAAAGAAATGGGATAAACTGTTAAAAAAAAAAAAAAGAGGAAGAAGAAAAAGAGTAGCTGAGCTTTGGTAGCACATGTCTTTAATCGCCCACTCCAGAAGCAGAGGCAGGCAGATTTCCAAACCCTGTCTCATAAAAGGAAAAAATAAAAGTAAAAGAAATAGAATAATAAAAAGCCACGTAAAGATGGAAAATACACAGAGAGTCTGGATACTATATGCTTCATTGTTGTCTTTAAATTATTTGATTGCTGAGGAAAGAGCTACAGCTGCTACAATGCATTTGATTATCAATGCTGCTAAATTAATCCAACTTATATATTTTAAAAATGCTTTGACTTCTAAATTTGAATATAAGGACAGGTTACTTGGGAAAGGAGTTTTTGCTTGTGTTTTCACAGAAAATGGAAAGCTATGGATTCCTTCCAGACTAATATGGTTTGATCAAGCAAGACCCCCTGAAGCAGTGGCCCAACTGATCCTACATCCAAAACAGCTAAGATAATGCAGTCATAGATGGCTGTGGCCAGGTTTCTTTCTATGTTTTATCATGATCCCCATGGTATGGACATCACCCCCAACCAGCAGGAAGCAGTTTGGAATGAATGACACCTGAATTCCCAAATATTGTTTATAAATATTTGTTTTCATTTAAATGGGGTTGATTACAAATGATAATGATCACAGTCAATTTCTTTGTAAAGGAAAAAAGGGGAATAGGAATGAATACTTTACATTGGTATGGATTTTCATTTATTGATACAAATTTAAAGTCATTTTTGTGATATGTATATGTCTCCTCTTGTTTGGGTATTTTGTTTATACTGATCTTTTAAAATGTAATGCATAATTAAATACAGATTGTATTTAGTCAGGTATAATAGTCAAAACTTACAGTTAGGTTAGTTAGGTTTTCTAGATATACAGAGATGAATTTGAGATAAATATTCTTCAAACCTTTCAAAGACCTACAGAATATATGACATTTAAATGGTTTAGGGTTTTTCATGACAATGAGACACAACTGCTCCTGGCACACCAATTATGTTTGAGAGGAAGATGGAGATTGAAGAAACTTGTTACAGAGCTTGCTTTCTACATGGCAAGATTAGCCATTTGGGCAAGAAACTGCTCTTGCCTGGACTGTTTGATAAACTGGACATGCAGGACCCACAGGAAAGTGACTGCTGAACTTGCAAAACAAGACTGTACTGAAGGGTTCCTGTTTCATGGAGAGTCTGCCAGACACACTGTGGCCTATAGGCTGAAGATGGATGCCCCAAAGTTACAGAGGAACTTTGAGTGACTGTCCAGGTAGCAAGATGTCTCTGTCAATTCTAAAGTTTATATATTATACTTTTGTGGTCTTTGATGGAGTTGAAGACAGATAGTTATGATTATAGTTTTCTTTAGTTATTATAAAAGATAAGCTACCTATAAGACCTTCGACTCACAAAGATAAGATGATAGAATATTTTCTTTAAATCTTGCTGAATGTTAATGAACTAAATATCGTAACTATGGTTCTTACTTGATAACTGTTTTGTTATGTATTTTACTATGTTAATGGTAAAACCCTTCTTTCATTTAGACAGAAAAGAGGAGATGATGGGGGAGGTCCTTCTATGTATGTGTTTGTCTTATTGGTTGATGAATAAAGCACTGTTGGCCAATAAGGAAGCAAGATAGATGAGACTATGAGTCGAGGAGGATTCTGGGAAATGTAGTAGGGAAGAGCCGCCATGTGATCCCAGAAAGACATGACACATTCTGCCGGTGTCCTCAATAAGTAAGATAAGTTTATAAAATATATAGATTAATAGTTATGGGTGATACTTAAGACAGAGCTAGCAGGGAGGCAGAGGTAGGTGGATCTCTATGAGTTCAAAGCCAGCTGGGTCTACAGAGCAAGTTCCAGGACAGTTAGGGCTACACAGAGAGACTGCCTCAAAAAACTAAAAAACAAAAACAAACAAACAAAAAAAAGATTATGGCTCTCAGCTTGCTTCCCCAGCTTCTGAGTCTCCACTTTACCACATTGAACTTACCCTCTGGGACCAGAAGCCCACATAAACTCTCCTCTTTAGTTGTCTTGGTGATGGTGTTTTTATCACAGCAATAGAAAAGTGACTAATGCACATAGCATGATTAAAACTGTACAAAGGAGTGCCAGCAAGATAACTCAGTGAATAAAGGGACTTGTCACCAAGTCTTATCACCAGGTTCAGTTCCTGGAACCCACATGTTGGCAGCTCTCACCAGGTGTCCTCTGAGCTCAAAATCTGTGCCATAGTATTTGTGTACACATGACCCCACCACTGTCACACACACACAAAAAGAAATAGATAAAGGGGATGGAGAAATGGCTCAGTGGTTAAGAGCACTGGCTGCTCTTCCAAAGGATCTGTTCAATTCCCAACACCCACATGGCAGATTACAATTGTCTTACTCCAAGACCTGACAGCCTCACACAGATACACATGCAGGCAAAATATCAATGCATATAAAATAAAAATAAATTTTAAAAAAAGGAGAAGATAAGACCAGGCATGGTGGCACACACCTGCTTTCTTTCTTTCCTTCTTTCTTTCTTCCCCTCTTTCTTTCTTCCTTTTTTTTTTTTCTTTAAATTCTAGTACTTTATTCCCTACATTGTAGCTATAAAATCCCATATGGATTTTCAGTGTTAAATAGTGACATGACCAAGTTTCAGAGATTTATTCATCAATGTAATAAAATCCACAAAAAAATAATAACATGATTTCATGCATTCAGAGGAGAAGTATTTTTGGTTAAGTGGGAATTGTGTAGATGGCCTCTGAAAGACCTTCATTATATAAACAGCTATATGGTGAACTTCATGGGTCTTCAGTTTGCTGTAGTCTAGTAGAGTTTCTATTTATTGAGACCCAGTTTGTTCCAAAGTTCTGGGTTATTCTTTCTGTTCCTGCTGACATCTGGACTGTGCAGTACATACAGAGCTGCTCCAGTTCCTCCTACTTTGTAAAGATGGAGAGAGGACTTGAGCTGGGATGCTGCTTGGCTTGCTTGTTGATCTGGTGGAGTACAGAGGCTGACCTCCACTAGACTGGAGAACAAGACCAGGACACGGACACTGAGTAGCTTCAGCAACCTGGCTGAGGGGATGGCACACACCTTTAGTCTAGTACTCAGGAGGCAGAGGTGGAAGAATCTCTGTGAATTCAAGGCCAGCCCTTTCTACATAGAAAATTCCAGGCCCATCAAATTACACAATGAGACCTGTCTCAAAAAAAGAAAAAGGAGTGAATAAGTAAAGTTTTTTTTAAAAAAAAAATCTTACAAGGAAACAATTCTAATTAAATCTACTTGTTTCTAACAATAAATTGAATAAAATTCCTTCAAGAATAGTCCTTGGGCCTGGAGAGATGGCTCAGCAGTTAAGAGTATAGGCTGCTCTTGCAGGGGACCCAAGTTCAATTCCCAGCACCCACATGGCAGCCCACAGCTGTCTGTAACTCCATTTCCAACACCCTCATACAGACATACATACAAGCAAAACACCAATGTGCATGAAATAAAAATAAATTTTTAAAAACTTTAAAAATCATTTAATTATTGCATTATCATACAGGATTTAGGTTTGTTTCTTTGTTTTTCAAGACAGGGTCTCTCGGTGTAGCTCTGCCTATCCTGGAACTCACTCTGTAATCTAGGCTGGCTTTGAACTCACAGAGATCCACCTACCTCTGCCTCCCAAGTGCTGGGATTAAAGGTGTGCACTGCCACTATCTGGCTTTAAACTCTATGGTTTGTGTTGTTAATTTTTTAAGGGTTACTTATTTTTATTTTTATATATAAAAATTTATATATGGATGCCTTACTTGCTTGTATGTATGTGCACCACACATATGCAGTCCCCACAGAGGCCAGAAAAGTGCATTGAATCCCCTGGACTGGAGTTAGAGATGATTGTGAGCTGTCATGTGGGTGCTGGAAACTGAACCTGGATCCTCTGGAAGAGCAGCCAGTGCCCTTAACCACTGAGCCTTCTCTCCTGCTCTATCCTGTTGTGTGTAATTACAAATAATGTACATGAGCTACTTCATACCGGTGACTTTTTTCTAGGTGAATGATTTACACAACAAAAAGTCACGTGATATCTTATCAAATCTGTACTTTTTCAGACTGAAAACCTTAAGGGCTTCTGGGTAAATATTACTTGGCCCTTTAATCTTTTATTGTTCCTGACCACACATTCAGTTCTTTGGGCATTTGAATTTTGTTTCTCTTGTTTGAAACAGGTCCTACTAATGTAGGCTAGGCTGTCTTCTACCTCATATTCCTCCTGTCTTAGTGCTGGGATCACAGGTGTGTATACACAAACTTAGGGTTCCTCCCTTCCCTCAGACAAGGTCTCACTATGTAGTCTACTAGCTATAATCATGAAATTTTCCCTGCCATGGTGCTGGGATTATAAACAGGTACCAACACAGCCATTTTAGTTCTGTGTAGTGAAAATAATAAGGATTAGAGACAGCAGTGGTTACAAGAAAACATGATTTTACAATTTTAAAAAAGCTAAAGTGGACCTGGGGAGATGGCTCAGTGAACAAAATGCCTGCTGTGCAAATGTGATGGCCTGAATTTGGATTCCCAGAACCACATAAAGGCTAAATGCAGTAGCCCATGTGTCTGTAATCCCTCGCCTGGAGTAAATAAGAGGCCCTGTGTCAAACAAGTTCGTCCTCTGACCTTCACATGTATACCGAGACACGTACATGTCCCCTCCACATCATACACATACACCCGTCATTCACACACACACAAATAGAGAGACAGAGACAGAGAGACAGAGAACATTAAAGTAATAGTTTAAGCTTAGGGCTTAGCTTTAATCTTATTTGGAGTATTAAACAGGATTCTGGATATCAGCAATGTAATTTAAAAGTACAGGAGAAGGGACTGGCATTGTATATTATTGGTAACACACTTGTCTGGCATGCACAAGGCTCTGGATTTAGTTCCCAGTGCTGTTTAAAACAACAACCACACTAGTAAGCAGTAAGGAGTTTCTCTGTTATATCTGTTGTTATCTGGGAAGCAGGGTGGTTTCACTGTTGAATATGGACTATATATAGTATCAGACCTAGGTTCATTTCTTGAACTCGTCATAATACTTACAGCAATGTAATCACCGTCTGTTGAGCATATTGTGTACCTGCTAAGTCATTGATTTTTTTGTTATCTCACTTAATTTTCTCTGTAATTCTGGAAGGTAAGTTTAGACTCTTCATTTTCCTGTTAGAGAAACTGCAGCTAAGAGTAATTACAGAGTGAGCTCTATCTCTGATTTCTCTCTTTATCCTTTCTATTATGTAATAGTATTTCTTTTTTTCTCTAGCTAGTCCCCCACATTTCCTAGAGTCACCTTCTGTGGATACAAGTTCTCTGATAATGGATGTAATTGTGAATAATATTTAAGAAATGTTTGGGAAGGTCATTACTTTGTCACTTCACCTGCCATCACAATATATTCTTCCATTGGTGCAACATAACTTAGAGTTATAGCTGAGTTCAGTGCATGTATTGTGCTTACAGTAGAGAAGAGAAAGAGTGCTTCATAGACTGCTGAGGTAGCTTAGATTTTTGTCAGTTACTGGTATCTTTTCTTCCTAACATTTTCAAGGTTGGACATTAAGTGCATTTCTATAGTTGGTTGTTTTCTTACTCTTTACTCTTTTGGCTCTTTGCTCTTTGGGCCCGCCACCCAACTCCCAGATAAACACACAGAGGATTGCTATTACTTATAAATGCCCAGCCTCAGCTTGGCTTATTTCTAGCGGCTTTTCTTAACTTATCCTGTTTACCTTTTTCCTCTGGGCTTTTTCCTTTTCTTACTTCTGTAATCTTAGTTTCATGCTTACTCTGTGGCTGGCTATGTAGCTGAGTGGCTGGCCCCTACTTTTCTTGCTCCCTGATCTCTATTGCTTCCCCATCCCTCTTTCTCTCCTATTTATTCTCTTTGCCTGCCAACCCTGCCTATCCTTTCTCCTGCCTCCCTATTGACCATTCAGCTCTTTAGTAGACTAATCAGGTGTTTTAGGCAGGCACAGTAACACAGCTTCACAGAGTTAAACAAATACAACATAAAAGAATGCAATACATCTTTGTATCATTAAAACAAATGTTCCCCAGCATAAACAAAAATAACACCTCTTTTTAAAAAAAAAAAAAAAAAGATTTGTTATGTATACAGTATTCTGTTTGCATGTATCTCTGCAGGACAGAAGAGGGCACCAGATCTCATCATAGATGTCTGTAAGCCACCATGTGGTTGCTGGGAATACAAATACAACATAAAAGAATGCAATACATCTTTGTATCATTAAAACAAATGTTCCACAGCATAAACAAATATAACACCTCTTTTTAAAAAAAAAAAAAAAAAGATTTGTTATGTATACAGTATTCTGTTTGCATGTATCTCTGCAGGCCAGAAGAGGGCACCAGATCTCATCATAGATGTCTGTAAGCCACCATGTGGTTGCTGGGAATTGAACTCAGGACCTCTGGAAGAGCAATCGGTGCTCTTAACCTCTGAGTCATCTCTCCAGCCCAATGTAACATCTCTTTAATATTCTACAACACATTTCAGCCCTTTAACCCATTCATCTTTCTTCCTCCCTGATTTTCCTTTTTTTCAGAGTTTGAATTCTTATACAAATGGAGCATATGGTACACCATACCCTCCTGGCCCTGGACCAAATACTGCCTCATACTCTGGGGCTTATTATGTACCTGGCTATACTCAAAGCAATTACTCCACGGAAGTTCCAAGCACTTACCGTTCACCTGGGAACAGCCCAACCCCTGTCTCTCGTTGGATATATTCCCAGCAGGACTGTCAAACAGAAGCGCCTCCTCTCAGGGGTCAGGTTCCAGGATATCCTACTTCACAGGTAAGCAGTTTTCTGTCAGGGAAACAATGTCTGCTTCCTGAATTGTAAATAGTGGAAAGTTGTTTATTATATGAGTACCATTTATTATATGAGTACCAGCTTAAGAAAACAACTAGAGCCAAGCATGGTGTGTACACCTTTAATCCCAATTCTCATGAGGCAGAGGCAAGCTAAGCCCATTGAGTTCAAGACCATCCAAGGCTAGATAGTGTGGCCTTGTCTCAAAAAAACGAAAGAAAACATAGATATTCAGATATTTTTCTATGAAGGATTTTGGCCAAAGATACCTTAAAAATATATGATCATAGTTCTTTTAAATTCTAAGTTAAATTTATTATTTGTGTGCCTGGTGGTTGTTGGGGGGATGACACATGTACCACAGCCATGTGTGGAGGTCAGAGGGCAGCTTTGTGGAATGTGTTCTCTTTTTATCTTCTATAGATTCCAGGGATCAAATTCAGGTCACCAGACTTGCATAGCAAGTGCCTTTACTTACTGAGCCAACTCACCAGCCCATAATTATAATTTTTTTCTTTTCTTTCTTTCTTTTTAAGGCCAGGTCTCAGTATGTAGCCCAAGGAGGCTTCAAACTCACAGCCATCTGCCTGTCTCTACTTCCTGAGTGCTGGGACTAAAGACATATGCCACCATACCTGGCTCCTATCTTGTCTCCTCCCCCCCTTTATTTCCATTATTTTTAATAACAGCATGTTATTAAAATCATTTTGATCTCTAGGTAAAATCATACATGTGTGCATGTATGATTGTGTTTGTATACATGTACATGAATGCAGGTACTCACAAATGCCAGAGGTGTGAGAACCCCTGGAACTGGAGTGACGGGTTTGGGAGCCACCTGACATGGTGTTAGGACTTGAACTCAGGGTCCTCTAGAAGAGAACTGTATGCTCTTAACTACTGACACATTTCTGCAGCCCCTATAAAACTTTTGTAATAAATCTTTAGTAGTTGTTAGAAACTTTCCCTAACTTAATCTTTTCCAGTGCTGTTAGGTTTGTATTAATATGCTAGGAATATACCACGTTTCTTTCTGTTTGTTTCGAAAAGAATTCTACTGTATTTGTATTTATAGCGTGTAGATTATAGCGTGTAGTATTTTTAGAAAATAACATGCTTCATCCAGTGAATTTTAGGTCTTATTCCTAAGACTTTCACCAACTCTGTTCTTTGTGTTTTGGAGTCACGGTTTCTCAGGTGTGGAGAACTTTTGGTAACCAAATAATGACTTACTCGAAGGTCAGGATCTGTCTGTGCTATATCTATCTATCTATCTATCTATCTATCTATCTATCTATCTATCTATTTTGGTGTTCCGGGACAGGGTTTCTCTGTGTAGCTTTGGAGCCTATCCTGGCACTTGCTCTGGAGACCAGGCTGGCCTCAAAGTCACAGAGATCCGCCTGCCTCTGCCTCCCAAGTGCTGGGATTAAAGGCATGCACCACCAACACCCGGCTAAGCTATTTTTATTACTTTAAACTTTTTGTTTTGTTTTTTAAGCAGTGACCAATTAGCATACCAGCATATTTGTTTTTTCCAATCTAGAACCCTGCAATGACCTTGCCTCATTATCCTTATGGAGATGGTAACCGTACTGTGCCACAGTCAGGAGCAACTGTACGACCACAAGATGATGCATGGGCTTCTGGTGCTTATGGTATGGGGACCCGTTACCCCTGGCCTTCAGCTGCACCCTCAGCACCATCTGGGAATCTCTACATGACAGAAAGTGCTTCACCCTGGCCTGGCAACAGTTCTCCTCAGCAACCTCCTTCACCACCACCCCAACAACCCAAGGTAGGACACCTTCCAAATGCTGCAGTTTTGATCTCTAGGTAATTAAGAGAATACAAGACGACACATCTCTGTATTTGCCTATGGCGGAGGAGACTAACTGCAAAAAAGTTGATTACTACACTACAGCATTATGTAGCTTGATTTATGTTTTTGTTTTTTTCTTATAGACATTATCGTTGGTGGTTTTTTTTTTTAGGTTATCTTTTTTGTGCTTTTCTATTGTGTGTGTGTGTGTGTGTGTGTGTGTATAGATGCACTGGCTGCATGTATGTCTATGTACCATGAGTGTGCCTGGTGTCCTTGGAGGCCAGATTCCCTGGAACTGAAATTGCAGGCAGTTAATGAGCTACCTTGTAGCTACTGATAATCAAATGTGGGTCCTCTGGAAGAGCAGCCAGTGCTGGTAACTGCTAGCTATCTCTCCAGCACAATATCTTTTTTAAAAATATGGAAAGAAATGCTTAATTTTTACTATGATACTATCTGAATATTAAATAGAATCAAAACATGTGTTTTACGACCTCAAATGCTATGTGGTAAGAAGATGAAAGACAGTGTGAAGTAGCACAACACTGTGTGGTGTCATTCACATAAGCCTCAGGCAGAACCCTGTCTGCTTTTGGTTGTGTGCCTGGGTCTCTCACTATTTAAGGAGGAAATATCAAGTCACTGAATGAATTGTGAGGGAGTAAGATTGATTATGAAGTATTCACAAAGATGACTAGTATTGAGGTAGATTCTAACCCATCATATTTAAGAATTCTGTGGCTTTTATTTGAAAGGGCTTCCCTGTTATCTTCAATAAATCCAGTTTTATTGGTGGGAATATTTTCAAGTACTTTCCTGTTTGGGAAAGGTGGGTACTAACATATCTGATGTTGATAGCCTCCCATTAAAATAGCTTTTGTTCTCCTTTCTGTCTTCTCATTCTAAGGATCCCTCGTACTCCTATAACCAGTCGGGCCAAAGCGTGAACCGGCACAGCTTTCCGTGCAGTGTCCATCAGTATGAGTCTTCAGGAGCAATGAACAATGATAATTCAGACCTTTTGGATTCTCAAGTCCAATACAGTGCTGAGCCTCAGTTGTATGGTAATGCTGCCAGTGACCATGCCAGCAATCCAGTTCAGAGTAATAATCTCCCTGAAGAGTGTTTTTCTTCAGGTGAAGGTACACCTCCAAGTATTAAAAAAATCATACATGTGCTGGAAAAGGTTCAGTATCTTGAGCAAGAAGTAGAAGAGTTTGTAGGAAAAAAGACAGACAAAGCATACTGGCTTCTGGAAGAGATGCTGACAAAGGAACTTTTAGAACTAGATTCTGTTGAAACTGGAGGCCAGGACTCCGTCCGTCAGGCCAGAAAAGAGGCTGTCTGTAAGATCCAGGCCATACTGGAGAAATTAGAGAAAAAGGGATTATGAAATAATTTGTAATGAAGGGTAACCCTGTTACTAATTTGGCCAAAGAACTCTTGAATTTGGTTAGTTACCGTCTTTTGAAATCCTGTTGTGACAAGAAGCAACACATTCCAACTTCTGACCTAAAACTTGAAAGGAAAAGAAGCTGAGAAGCTGGCAGAGGAATGGACGAACACATTATGGGGCTCTTTGCGGTTTTCAGATCACTGAACATAACAAGGAAACTGGAATTATCAGTATTACCAAGTAGACCCACTCCTGAAGAAATCCATGGGCATCTCTAGGCTGCTTCTTATCAGCAGGAGGGAAATAGACTTTATGTAACAGGTTATCAAAACATAATCCGAGACAAGCAGGCTGTTTTGTATGCATCTAGACTGTCACATTTTTGTGCATTGTGACTGCATATACTTCATGTGTAAATTATAGCTTAGACTCTTGACCTCTGTTTTGTTTGTTATCTGCAGTTCACAAATGTAATATTATTCTACTTCTTGGTACATTTTGTAGTAATATGTTTAAAATAATCAAATACTGGCAGCCAGATAAATGGGCAGTTCTGAACAAATTCATACCCTTTCACCACTTGAATCTATTGTAGTGTGTAGTGAGCTCCTGAAGTCAATCATTTCTCTCTGTTTTGTGTAGCATGTTATGTTAGAGATCTTCCCACTTCTGCTTTTCATAGTAGTTGGGAAGGTGAATTTGGAAATTACATTAACATAAGAATGACAATGTTTGTGGACGTTTTACTTCTTTGCTTTTTTTGTTGTATTTGGATAAAGATCCACTTTTGAAATTGCTTTTTTTAGAAAAATATCTTTGGCTATTGCTGCTTCTATAGAGAGCCGTATGATAGAAACATAAAAAACCTAAATGCCACAGTTAGTATAAAGAGTGACTGCAAAAGGCAACAAATATGACTATTTAATAATACTGTTCTCCATTTAATAGTTTCTATGGGACAGATTTGAGCTCAGTTTATAGTTGATAGAAGGAAAAGGAGACTCATGCTCAGGGAATGAGTCAGCTATAGCTAAAGTAGGAAATTCATTGTTTTATCTTAAATTCGCTCTTTATTTCATAGGATAAATTACATAGAATTGCTTATTTCATAAGAAATATGTTATTTATTATTAATAACAGTCGATTTGTTAAACCAAATTTAAGAAAGGGGCCTTTCTTGGTTATCCATATATGTTGTTATACAGAGACAGGTAAATAATTTACCTTTTAAATCTAAAGTGAGGTCTAGCATACAGTATCTGCTTTTGCAACAAAAGCAGTTTCTTAGTAAAATATCAAAGTGATACTTGTTTTCTAGACTAGCAGACCTTTATGTTAGTGATACTAAACCTATAGCCATCTCCCTTCTAATTACATAGAACCAAACCGATGCCAACATATAATAAGTAGAAATGTAGTAAAAATATTGTATGGATGCTGGGGATGTTGCTAAGTTAATAGAGTGTTTGCCCAACATACATGAAGTCCTGGGTTAAATCCCCAGTATTGCATAAACCAGGCATTAGTGGTACGTAACTGTCTCAGCATTTGGGAGGTGGAGGCAGGAAGAAGATTGCAAGCGACATCCTCAGCGACAAAATGAATTCAAGGCCAAGGCCACTCTGAGCCATATGAGATCCTGTCTCAAAAAACTAAAAGGATAAGTGATTCAAGATGTGATTATTTTATCCAGGAGGCTGTTGTTTTTAACGATTTTATTTAGCTGGGTTTGGTGGTATACATTTTTAATCCAGGCAGAGGTGGGTAGATCTCTTGAATTCAAGGTCAACCTGGTCTACAGAGAGGTTCCTGATCATCCAGGGCTACATAGTAGCACACATGCTCTATCTTCTTTCTTTCTTTCTATCTATCTATCTATCTATCTATCTATCTATCTATCTATCTATCTATCTGATGTGTGTGTGCACACATGTGTGTGTTTTATAACAAGTTTTATTTTTGAAACAGAATTTTGTGCCAGGTTGGCCTTAAACTTGGTATTTAGCCTGGGACAACCTGAAAGTCCTGATCTTCTGCCTCACCTTTCTATTACAGGTTTGTGCCTGGGTTATGTGGTGCTGAGACTCAAACTCAGGGCTGTGTATATGCTAGGCAAGCACTGTACTGAGCTACAACTGTAGTCCTGATTCTCTTATTTTTGGGCTAATACGGAAATGTTTTTACCTCTAACCCCAGCATTCAGAGGCAAGTGGATGGGTCTCTGATTCTGAGACCACTTTGGTCTACATAGTAAATGCCAGGCTAGCCAATAGTGAGACCTAACCACCCTCAAAGAAAAAAGTTTTCTATAAAAACATGACAAGTATACTTAAAAGTATAAGAGGAGAAACCTTAATGCCATGTTGCCATCGAGACACTGATAGATACAGAAGAACACAGTTTTGCTTAACTTATGCTGCCCAAGTTGCCAATTTCTGCATTCTTCATTTTTACGTATTATACACGTTATGCACAAATGTACATACATGTGTATATATCTTAAGTTATTTTTTGAACTATTAACATGATTTTAAACTTACAGAAGAGCTGTAAAAAATAGCTTTCCTGTGTACCCTCCATCTATCTTCCCCTTGTTCTGACTTGTTCCCTAACTAAAACATTTGTCACAATTGAGAGTTAATCTTTTATAGTGCTGTTAATACTAGCTAAAGTAGCAAGCTAATAGTAAATATTTTATTGATCTTTTTATTAGCATCCTCTTCACTGTACCAGATCCCATTTCACATTTAGTTCTGTCTGAGTAGTCTTTCCCTCTGTGACACTGTATCATAAGGATAGCTGGTGTTGTCATGTATTTCCTGTGTGGTTCACTTTGAGCACTCTGCTGAGGTGGCGTCTGCTAGGATTTACTACTGTAAGCTTACCCTGCTTTCCTTTGTAATTACTGAGTATGACTATGCAACTGTCCTGTTTCTGCTTAGAATTTGCCTCTCCTGTCTCCTGGCAGATCTTGCTTGTGGCATTTACTACTGTGGTGTTCAAATGGTGATTTTTCTATTTCTTTCATTTCTTCTATATTTAATAACTGGAATTCTTCTGGAAGGAAGAACTGTGGATTCTGGATTTATATTTTTAATTATATCAAGATATTGAAGATAGGTACGAACTCAGAACTTAAAGATATAAACCATGATAATTGATTGCAAATGGCCAGTATCAAAGAAAAAAGCAATGTTAGTGACCTGTCTTTGAAAATATAATGAATTTAAGAATGAAAATAATATTTATGATTTGTAAAATTTGTTTGACTTTTGACTTAAAATTGATTTGAAATGAAACACTTTTCTTTTGAAATTTTACATCTAGACTTTTTTAAGGTGTCTAAATTTATATTACTTTGGGGATCATTTTTTGTCAAATCTTGAATAAAGTTACCTACATCTGGCATGATAAACACAGCTTTTTTCTCTCTAGCACCTTTGTTCAGGTAAACATCCCGCTCTAAACAACCAGCCCAGATGAGTTGTCTGGTTCTGTTTGTCTCTACCCATCAGTGCATGCTTGTTTTAAATGCCTTTAAAGAATGAGGTGTGTACAAACAAAAACAACCAACAATAAAAGGAATGGGGTTTGAAAACAGCACTTTAATTAATTGACATAAATAATAACCTTTAAGTTAATCATGAATTAAATTGTCCATTAAGAAAAGCCTTGCCAGGTGGTGTGGGAACACGCCTTTGATCCCAGCACTGGGAGGCAGAGGCAGGTGGATCTCTGTGAGTTCAAGGCCAGCCTGGTCTACAGCACAAGTTCCCGGACAACCTCCAAAGAAATACAGAGAAACAATACCATCCCAAATTGCAGGTGGAAAAAATAAAATAAAATTAAGTTCTGAGTCAAATCCATGAAAAACAGCATTCTCCTGGTCCTACCCTATCTTTTGTTGTTCTCCAACGACAACCATTTAAAATTTTGTTAGATTTATTATCTTATGTGTTTGAGCGTTCATGTATGTGTGTTCCATGTGTGTCTGTTGCCCTTAGAGGTCAGAAGAGGTCATGGAATCCTCTGGAACTAGTTATAGTTGTGAGCCATCATGTGAGTGCTGGGTAATTGAACCCTCTGATTTTGTTTTGTTATCTGAGACAGGGTCTCTGTGTGATCCTTGCTGTCCTGCAACTCGCTCTGTAGGCTGACCTCAAGCTCTGAGAGATCTGCCTGCCTCTACCTGCTAAATGCTATGTTTAAAGAAGTGCACACCACCGCACATTGAATGGCTGATTTTTTTAAATAACACACAATTGTGTTTTTCTTTTCTCAATCTGTTGTTTTGTGAGACAATTACTGTGTAGCACAGTTCTGTAGAGGGTAGCTCTGGACCGTGCCCTTTCTGCCTCAGCCTTCCTTCCTGTTTTTCCTTAAGGGGATGACAATAGTCAGTTCTTTTTCTGTTCCTTCCATGTCTCAGTCTGTTTCTCCCCACTTCTGAATGTAGTTACACAGTCACTTCTTTGTGAATACTAGCCAGAGCTCAGTCCCACAGTGAGTGGTGTTTTCTTGGACTACTTGTTTTCCAAGTAATTGCTCTTCTGTGTTTTTTGGGTGCTTATGTCCTCGATCTTATTTGACCTCTAAGTCCTTTTTCTACATCTATGCAGCATTTCATTAGTATCAGACTCCTGAGGAAGTCTTCTGGAGCCTTCCGTACACATACGGAGAATTCCCTTTGCCTCTTGCTCTCCTGTATTTTTTTTCTTTAAACTTTCTTTATTTATATATGTGTTTTTATGTATACATTCATACATAAATACATATTTTTTTTTCAGTAGCTTCCTGGAAAAGGGTACAAGGAAAATGTTTGGCTTTAGATCTTACATAATTTAAAATGTCAGTTCTGGGGTGCATGGCTTCAGTCTCAGCGCTCCAGAGCCAAAACAGGCAGGTCTCTTGAATTTGAGTTCTAGGACAGCCAGGCTACACACAGAGAAACCCTTTCTTACAAAAGATTTAAATAGTTGAGTAAGATCAAGCTGGGTAAGCATGGCTGAAGGTGGATTTGATCCTGTGAATGCATTTGCTCTCATGAGCATACGATGAGAAGACTGGTCCGTCCGCTTCGGCAGTCCCAGTCCTACTGCACAGACACAGAATGCTGCCCGGAGCTGCCAGGACCCTCCAGTGACAGCGGCGTCAGCATTACTGTGATCCTGATGGCCTTGGATGGTGATTGCAATGCTCCTGTTCTTACTGGGGCCTCCTAATCTGAGAGGCTCAAGCCTCCCTGGGAAGCCATCAAGTCCTCACAGTGGACAGGCCCCGCCCGCCCCTACTGTGGACTAATGTTGATGTGGGAAGCAGAGATTGTTGAACGCTGTGCACGACTAAATGACTGAAGATGACCAGAGTACTCCTAACTTTTTCCTTTTCCACCTGCAATTTGGGATGGTATTGTTTTCATGAGCTTCTAGAAATTTCACTTGCAAACTGACTTTTGCTTCCTGTGTTGCCACAGTCCTTATTTATGGTATGCCTGAGAAAATGATTCTATCGGAAAGTTCACAGGGCTTGTTGGTTAGCCTAAGCTTAAAACATTCCACTCGTTGTCCCTGGAACCGTGATCATAATGTTCGTGGTGGTGTCTGACCCAAGTGAAGGGAAATTGAGATTTCTGCATTTAAGTGTTTTTAGTAGACTTAATAGATTTTAATTTTTTTCATAAGGTATTTATTTGGGGTTATTTGGTATGAATGACAGAACCACACTATATTTACTTTACCTCGGCAGTTTGTTTGTGGGTGGCAGTTTTCTGTAGTTCTTGGGACAGTGACACTTTTAGACTATTTCCCTTAGAGCCTACAGCTGAGGTCTGAGTTGCAGCTGGCTTATGTGGCTAGAATAGGAAAGGTGAACTGATTCTTTACTGTTTTTTTTTATTAATTCCTATTAAAAATTTCTGATGTTAAGAATACATACTATAAATAAGCACGATTGATTAGTATAAAAAAATGTCAGTTCTGCCGCACATTAGACTGAGTTTATTAGGTGAATACACATAGTAGGAAATGATTATTTTGAGAACTATAGCCTGGCAGTGGTGGCACACACCTTTAATCCTAGCACCAGCAGGCAGAGGCAGGCAGATCTCTTGAGTTTGAGGCCAGCCTGATCTATAGAGTGAGTTCCAGGAAAACATACAGACAAAAATCTATAAATTCTTCTCTTAGTTTCCAGAGTTTAGTTTCTAGAATTGCTTTTGAGAAGTGTATACCACTGTGGTCATCTATCTGTACAAGACCCATTTTTGCTGGGCGGTGGTGGCACCTGCCTTTAATCCCAGCACTCTGCTTTCCAAGGGTTTTTGATAGCAACAATGGCACAAGCTGTCAGCAGCAGCTTTCCCAGCAATGTATTATTAGGAAGATATTTCTTAAATTCTAAGGCTGGAACTTTTGCTGAACCTCACAGCCAGATTTCATAAACCTCGAGTTCACTTAAGACTGCTATCTACTATGTACTCAACCTGTTTGTTTAATGTTTAAGAGAATTATACAACAACCAACCTTACTTTACTTGCCTTGTGTTTCCCATGTAATCGGCTTTACAACCTAAGAAAATGCATAGCTTTTGTAATTCTAAGTTATGCTCTTGGGCGCCCCTGACCCATGAAGTAGTACATTTGTGTTTGTATATGTGTTATGATCATCATTTGCTGAAAATAGTAAATATGCTGAAGGTGGTCTTATAAAATGAATATCTACCATGAGTGCTGGATATTGTGTCCATTATCTAGGTTGGTTGGGGCAATTGGGAGTCAGTGATTTCATCCTTTGTTACTCTATTTCTACAAAGTATCTTTCATTCCTTCTCTATGATGCTTTCTGTGTTCGACCAGAGAGAACAAAGCCCTGTTGTACACACACACACACACACACACACACACACACACACACACACACACACACACACACACACACACACGGAAAGACAAGCACAAGAAATATTCAAGCAGGCACAATTTTAGATTCATACACAGGAGTAGCAGAAGACAGGGAGAGTGAAGTAGAGAATTCAAATCTGGCTTGCTCTTGGTTAGATGACACCTAAAGTGCTTTAATTTCTGTCTTTAATATGACACCAACACCTGAGTTTATTATTAATGTGTTCAAAATGACTGCATAGGTACTCTTCAAATTTATGATATGGATGTCATAATTTATCTTTTTGTAGGTGTACTGTTTCATCTGAAGTAAAGGTTGGTGCCATTTAAGTGGTTTCCTGTTTTAAGGAATTTGAGGACCTTCTCCATTTGCAGAATATCAAGGGCTCCAGACATTGTGTGGGTTTCATTTAATACATAACCATGAACTACTGTGTGGACCCCTCCCTGGACAGTGCAGAAAAATACAGTTTTGTTTTTTGTTTTTTTTCTAGAGAGAGTTGCTCCTAGTAGCCTTGACTGTCCTGGAACTCAATCTGTCCTTGAACTCAGAAGATCCACCTGCCTCTGCTTCCTAAGTGCTGGGATTAAAGAAATGCCCACCACAGTCCCAAATGTGTTTTGTTTTTGTTTAAAGACAGGTCTTGTTAGAATACTCCTGCTTGGCTGGACAGTGGTGGGCATGCCTTTAATCCCCGCACTTGGGAGGCCTAGATAGGTGGTCTCTGTAAATTCGAGGCCAGCTTGGTCTACAGAGCGAGTTCCAAGACAGGCTCCAAAAGTGACAGAGAAACACTATCTCCTAAAAACAAAAACAACAAAAAATATTCCTGTTTCAGGCTCCTATAGAATAGCTTGGACTATAGGCCTACTCCTTCATGTGTGGCTGGTTGTGGGTTTTCGATCATGATTTTATTACAATGAAAACCCCAAATTGGTTCAAGTGCTAAAGTTTACCATGCCAAGTACTTGGCCTACATTCTAATCTCTAGTACCTATATAATCTGGCAGTGTGTACCTGGGCCTAGCAGTGGGGAGGCAAATACAGGAGGACACCCCCCCCCCCCAACACACTGCCCAGCTAATCCTGCCGAATCAGTAAGCACCAGCTTCAGTCAGAGAGGCAGGGGCAAGTGGATATATGAGTTCAAGGCCAGCCTGATCTACAAAGCAGTTCTAGGACTGCCAAAGCTACATAGACCCTTCCATAATGTTGATCCTAGGCATCAAACTCAGGACACCAGGCTTTACTCTGAGATATCCCCACAGCATGGTGTGTTTGTGTGTGTGTGTGTGTGTGTGTGTGTGTGTGTGTGTGTTGAGTTTTTATTTTGAGAACTGTAGATCAACATGCACTGTTTTTAAATTTAATTTTGTTTTAGTTTTGAGATTGTAATTTTAGTATTTCTTCCCTTTCCCTCCCTTCCTCCAGCCCCCCCAATGCACCTCCCTGTTCTCTTGCAAACTCACACCCTTTTTTTATTAGTTTTTATTACATGCATATGTATTGTGTATACAAATACACTTCTCACTATAACTTATTTAGTCCACGTAATGTTACTTGTATGTATGCTTTTAGGGCTGACCATTTGGTACTGGACAAGCAATTGGTATTCTCTTCCTTAGAGAGGATCACCTCTCTCACTCTCAGCTTTCCTCAGTTGCCTGTAGTTCTTTGTGGACTGAGGCCTTGGGGCTTTTCCCTGGCCACAGTGCAGTTTTAAGAAATAATATAGATTGCTCAGCAGTCTCGTGTAGGATCGGGCTGCTCACAATCACCTATTGCTCTAGTTCCAGAGCATCCATGCACCCTGAGGGCATCTATCACACAGAGACATACACATACACATACACATACACACACAACTGGAAAATGAAACAGTTGATACAGGAATTGGAGAGATAGCTTTGTGGTTAAGAGTGCTTACTGTTCTTGCAAAGAACCTGAGTTTGGCTCTCAGCACTCATATCAGGCAGTTCCCAGCTTCCTGTAACTCTAGGTCATAGAACCCAACACCTGTTCTGTATACCAAGAACACTACTCAAGTGCACATTCTCCTCACACATACACACCTAATTAAAGTTAAAAGCCTTTGAGGACACACCTTTGATCCCAGCACTTAAGAGGCAGAGGCAGGCAGATCTCCGTGAGGTCTACAAAGTGAGTTCCCTAACAGCCAAGGCTACACAGAGAAACCCTGTCTTCAAACAAAACCAAAATGTTTTAAGTGATACAGAGATTTCATGTACCCTATTCCAAGTTTGCCCTGCAGCTGCAGCTGGCTTGGAACTCACTGTATATCAGGCTGTCCTCAAACTTTTAGTGATCCTCCTGCCTCCCGAGTGCTAGGATTGAAGTCATGCACCACTCACTATTCGTGGCCACATTTTGTCCATTTTCTTTTTTCTTTTTTTGGTTTTTTGAGACAGGGTTTTACCGTGTAGCTTTGGAGCCTATCCTGGCACTTGCTCTGGAGACCAGGCTGGCCTCGAACTCACAGAGATCCACCTGCCTCTGCCTCCCGAGTGCTGGGATCAAAGGCGTGAGTCACCAACGCCCGGCCATTTTGTCCATTTGCTAACTGGATTTTTAAATAAACTTTTAGTAGTTTCCATTTTTAGAAAAATCTTCTATATAATCAATAATATAGAAAAATCGATAATAGAGTTCCAATATACATCTCATCCAATTCCATTGAACCCAACTCCATTCCTTTATTGAACATTTGTCTAATGGCCATCATTGATTTTTACCTGGTAATTTTAATTTCAAGAGTCTATATAGTATATCATATTTCATTTACCCACCATGTATCTTAGGGTAGCTCAGCTGTGATAGTTTCTCTGGCTTCATTTGTTTTTCTTGACCCTGACAGTTTGAGAGCTACTGTCATGTATTTTATAGATTGGCCTTCCACTGGTATTTGGTATGTTTCTCATAATTAGACTGGGGTTATGACATTGGGAAGAAAAGGCACAGAAGTGACTTTCTTTTCTCACCAGTGTCATCTGTCTACCTATTTATCTCTGCTGTATATTTGATATTTTATATACATACATACATACATATTAGATACCAACATGACACCGTAGATATTGATCACCTTAATTACTGGCTACAATAGTATCTGTCATGTTTCTTCCCTGTAAAGGTATTATTTTGAAATTTTTTCTTCATTTTGTAAATGCACCTGACTTACCTTAAAACCCATCGTAAATTGAAAGTTTTGTAAATCGAAATGGATTGAGGGTCAGTGAGATGGCTTTCTTCTAAGCCTGACAATCTGAGTTCAATCCTCAGACCCCACATTAAGGTGTGTCTTGTTTCCTTTCTGTTGTTGTGAGAAGAAACCATGACCAAGACAACTTGTAGAAGAAAGAGTTTATTTGGGGCTTACAGTTTCAGAGTGTTAGTGTTTAAAATGTTTTCATTCTTTTGGCTTTTTTTTTTTGGAGGTCCCACCACCCAGCTCCCAAATAACTCAAACATGGAGACTTTTTCTTAGTTATGAATTCCTGGTCTTAGCTTGGCTTGTTTCTAGCCAATTTTTCATAAATTAATCCATCTACCTTTTCCCTCTGGGCTTTTATCCTTTTTGTTTTGTCTTGGTTTTTTTCAAGACAGGATTTCTCTGTGTAACTTTGGAGCCTATCCTGGCACTTGCTCTGTAGACCAGGGTGGCCTCGAACTCACAGAGATCCACCTGCCTCTGCCTCCCGAGTGCTGGGATTAAAGGCGTGCACCCAGCGCCCGGCTATCTTTCTTACTTCTGTATATTTTACTATCCTACTTACTCCATGGCTGCCTGGGTGACTGGCCCCTTAAGTCCTCCTCCTCTTGTCCTCTTGCTGCTGCTCCCTCTGTTTCTCCTATTTATACTACTATGTCAGCCCTGCCTGTCCTTGCTCCCACCTTGCTATTGGCTGTTCAGCTCTTTATTAGCCCATCCGGTGTTTCAACAGGCAAAGAATCAGAGCTTCAATGAGTTAAACAAATGCAGCATAAACAAAAGTAACATCCTTGAAAACAATATTCTACCACAGGTTAGCGCAATGACCATTATGTTGGGGAGCATGGTGAAAGGCACAGTACTGGAGCAGTCAGAGAGCTTACATCTTGACCTATAAGCACAAGGAGAGCCAACTGGGAATGGCCTGGTTTTTGAAACCTCAAAGCCTGCCTCCAGTGACACACCTCCTAATCCTTCCCAAACAATTCCATCAACTGGGGACCAAATGTTGAGGGATATGACCCTATGGGGCCATTATTCACAGCACCATGGATGGGAGAACTGACTCCCCCCAAGTTGTCCGTTAATCTCCACACATGCACTGTGTTATGTGTAGGGAGCCGGTTCCTGCATTCTCCATTACAATAATGGTGCCTAAAGACACCAAGATGTAAATTACTTCACAGGCGCTGGGTAATCTCCATTCCTTTGATCTCTGCCTATCCCGTGGCTCATTTGGCCTGAGGAGCTGAAGCCATTCATAGGGTAACACGTCCCAGGCGGCTGCTTGCCAGCCTTTTTAAGGGATGGGTTTCTTAGTTCAGAGTCTCCGCTCTGGTAAGCTTATGCTCTCTCCCAACTCTCAAGATGCATTAAAGCTTGTCTGCAGAAGGATCCGAGTGTCCTGCGTGTATTTCTTGCCGGCGAGAACATACAGCGCGCGGGACAGTTATGCACACACACAAAATAAAGGTTTTAAATACTGAATTAAATGAAATGTCTTATTCTGGAAAGAAGTGGGAATTAAATTTGACATCTAGCAGTTACTCCAACATTGGGTATAAACCTCTTTAGGCCCCTTACTAGCCACTAGCGTTACCTTTTGTTGTAGATCATAGGTCAGCAACCACCTGAGACCAAATTTAACCCCCCAGCTCTGTTAGTTTCCATATTATCTGCAGCCTTTGTGTGGCCAGCAGGCCAGAGTGTTAGCTGCAGCAGAGCTCTTGCAGCCACAGGGTCCAAAATATTTATCTGTCTCTGCACTAGGATATTGGAAGGTAAAGAAGAATAATTTTTAAAGGCTGGAGGCTAGTATAGGGCTACATAGCAAGACCAACTCAAACAAAGCAAAGCAAAAAACACTAACCAGCCGGGCAGTGGTGGCACACACCTTTAATCCCAGCACTCGGGAGGCAGAGGCAGACGGATCTCTGTGAGTTCGAGGCCAGCCTGGTCTACAAGAGCTAGTTCCAGGACAACCTCCAAAGCCACAGAGAAACCCTGTCTCGAAAAACCAAAAACCAAAAAACACCACACCAAAAAGGGTATTGAGTAAACGTGGAGCCAGGTAGTGAGTGGTTTTGCACAGCTTTAGTTCCAGAACATGGAAGGCAGAGACAGGCAGATCTCAGAGTTCAAGGTCAGCCTGGTCTGCAGAACGAGTTCCAGAACATCCAGGGATACACAGAGAAACCCTGTCTTAAAAAAAAGAAACAACCAAAAAAAAAAAAAAACAATAAAAAAGTAAATGTGTGGATATTTGTAGCTGTTTATTTGCAGAGAATTAATATGTGATAAAAATGTCCACGTTCAGTTCCTTCTCAGCTTCTGAAAATGCTTCGAACCCTTCCCTAATAATCAAATCAGAAAACACTAAAGCATCTTTTTTTCCTTCCGGTGGCACTGTCAGCCAGGTGCTTCATCAACAAGCGACATCTCTGTCCCCATCAGTCTCTAGAGTGCTGGGATTACGTGAATGAGCTGAATGAGCCGCAGCCTCCACTAGGTTACACCATCTAGGACAAAAATACCTTATTTTCTGGGGCTTGCATCTTCCACATCCTGTCAAACTCACCCCTCAGGGATACTTTTCTGGCAACCTCTCATTCCAGATTGGGGGAGGGGAGGGAAGAGGAGGAGAGGAGAGAGGGGAGGGAAGGGAGGGAGGCAGGAAGGGGAGAGAGAGGGGAAAGAGGAGGGAGACAAGAGAGAGTGGGGCAGAAAAGAGAAAGAAGAAGGGAGAGAGGAAAAAGTGACAGGAGATAGGAGAGAAAGTGATGAAAGAGGGGGAGAGAGAGAAGGGAGAGACTTAGGGGGATACCAGCGCCCTGCTGTCCTCCAGCCTCCCTTCAACCCTTTCTCACTAGGGCTCCTTCATCCTTGTGTCCCCCACCCCCTAAGTTCGACCCTCTAGTGTCATCAGGATCCACCCGGGGTCGGGAAGCGCCGCGCCGCGCCGCTCTGAGGGTCCGGAAGCCTTCTCTCCGCAGCTCTCTCACCGCGCCCGCGCCCGCGCCCGCGCCCCACACCGCC